ACATGAATACATACATGGGTTAGGTGTAAAGTGTATCATATCGTCAGATGAAAATTTGCGATGCACTGATACATCTGTGACACCTCACGCACTCACTACGAGTTGAGGACTGATATTACCTGGATATTACCGAGTATAGGACTGATATTACTTGGATATAACCGTGTTGAGGGCTAATATTACTTGGATATAACCGTGTTGAGGACTGATAATTCTTGGATATAACCGATTTGAGGACTAATATTATATAGATATTACCGATTTGAGGACTTATGTTACCTCGATATAACCGTGTTGAGGACTAATATTACTTGGATTTAGCCATGTTGAAGACTGATATCACATGGATATTACTGATTTGAGGACTAATATTACTTGGATTTAGCCATGTTGAGGACTGATGTCACATGGATATTACTGATTTGAGGACTAATATTACTTGGATTTAGCCAAGTTGAAGACTGATATCACATGGATGTTACAGATTTGAGGACTAATATTACTTGGATTTAGCCATGTTGAGGACTGATGTCACATGGATATCACTGATTTGAGGACTAATATTACTTGGATTTAGCCATGATGAGGACTGATATCACATGGATATTACTGATTTGAGGACTAATATTACTTGGATGTAGCCAAGTCCAGGACTGATATCACATGGATATTACTGATTTGAGGACTGATATTACATGGATTTAGCCATGTTGAAGACTGATATAACTTGGATATTACCGATTTGAGGACTAATATTACTTGGATTTAGCCAAGTTGAGGACTGATATCACATGGATATTACTGATTTGAGGACTGATATTACTTGGATTTAGCCAAGTTGAGGACTGATATCACATGGATATAACTGATTTGAGGACTGATATTACTTGGATTTAGCCATGTTGAAGACTGATATAACTTGGATATTACCGATTGAGGACTAATATTACTTGGATTTAGCCAAGTTGAGGACTGATATCACATGGATATTACTGATTTGAGGACAGATATTACTTGGATTTAGCCATGTTGAAGACTGATATAACTTGGATATTACCGATTGAGGACTAATATTACTTGGATTTAGCCAAGTTGAGGACTGATATCACATGGATATTACTGATTTGAGGACAGATATTACTTGGATTTAGCCATGTTGAAGACTGATATCACATGGATAATACTGATTTGAGGACAGATATTACTTGGATGTAGCCAAGTCCAGGACTGATATCACATGGATATTACTGATTTGAGGACAGATATTACTTGGATTTAGCCATGTTGAAGACTGATATAACTTGGATATTACCGATTGAGGACTAATATTACTTGGATTTAGCCAAGTTGAGGACTGATATCACATGGATATTACTGATTTGAGGACAGATATTACTTGGATTTAGCCATGTTGAAGACTGATAGAACTTGGATATTACCGATTGAGGACTAATATTACTTGGATTTAGCCAAGTTGAGGACTGATATCACATGGATATTACTGATTTGAGGACTGATATCACATGGATATTACTGATTTGATTTGAGTCCTGGCTGAGTGTCTGTCCTCGTCCGACTCTGACAGCTGACTCATCGATGGAGGCTGTAGGAGTATATTGAACTGGCTTGCTTATTGTGTGACTGTGAATTACAATGAATTCAGGTCAAATGCTTGAACTGAATCATATCCTCATATTGTTAGTTCTCATGTCAAGGCCCATAATGGACGAGGGGCTTCTTTGGTCCAGCGTTGACTCACTCTGGAGTTATGTAATATTCAGCCTTAGAAAATTAATTTAATTTTTTTTCAGTACTTAAACCTTATTTCACTAGTCTTCAGAGTAGCTAGTAGCTAGTCTTGCTGGAACAAGAGAAACATGCTTACATGTTGTTTTATTTAGTTCCAATTTGTAGCAAGATTGAAGCATTGAGAACTGGTTCAGTATTGTTGCCCCCTTTGGATTTTCACTTTTCCTCAGCACAATTTAGTAGTCTCAGTGTAGCGGATCCTGTGAAGATTCCAGATCAGAATTGGTCTTCAGCAACCCATGCTTGTCTTAAGAAGCAACTGAGGGGATCGGGTGGTCAGGCTCGCTGACTTGGTTTATGGATATGATGGTATTCCCAGTTGCATAGATTGATGCTCATGATGTCAAACACTGGATTGTCTGGTCCAGACTTTTGATTATTTACAGCCCACCCTCATATGGCTGAGTGCAACACTATGTTTTATAAAAAGAAAAAAACCAGTGGACTAGCGCATACAAATTCAAAACATGTCAGAATGAAATGTTCAAAAGTGTTTGTGTGCATCGTTCCGACACGTATTTGGTAGGCAAGGCTTGGAACCCATGATAGCATATTACTATTTATTATTATTGTTGTTGTTATTTTTATGATATATGTGGTGTTTTGAAGCCTGTGAAGTATTGACAGTGTCATTTCCTTTTTTAGTAACTAACCAATGGAAATATTCATAATGAATATAGATTTATACGTATGTTTTATACAAACACACTTCAGGAAGATAAATACTTATATTTCCAAATGTGTTTATTGTGAGTGAGTTCTCTTGCATGTTAGTTTTACTTGGGACTAAACAGAACACCTGGTGCTGAAGTGACCCACATCGCCCACATGCTCTTTCATTTCAAGTGTATTAATTAAGCTGTTGGTAATTTTAGGATGTCCGCCTTAGCGAGAGTTGAATACCCCAAATACAGACCAGGGGACAGCCTCAAACATGTTCTGCTCCGTGAAGTCGTTTAATGGTATTCATCCACTGTGGCTATTACTGGACCCTGATAATGAGAGTGTATGCAGATTACACGGCTAAAACCTACACTACTGGAGACGATACTGGGAATACACACTGGCTAGATGTGATGTATGTGTCTCAGACTGATATAAAATCATGATTTACCCCGACTGTGGGATGCAAGGTGGCTGATGAGTTATTATATGTTAGCATCTTTTCTCATGGCTGCTTGCTCAAGGACAGGGTGAACACAACACAAACTACAGGAATATGGACATTCTGGAAAAAAATGACTCATCTGACTCATGCTATAATTGCTGAAGTCATCTTAGACTAACTTAATTTTGAGGTCATTGTGACATTGCAATTATTATTTCCGTCATTGATTATGGAGGAAATGCCGGGGGTGGTACACAAACTTGATGAATTCTGTTATTCAATGGCTACGACCGACCCTTTATAGTGATTGGTCTACTGCATGTAAGGAAGGTTTATTTCATAGCAAATGTTGACATTGTGTAGGTAATATCCAGTGTGTGCAACATTGTAGTTTATTAGCTGCCTTACAAGACTGGTGTCAGATGTAGCCCATATCCATCCAGCTGTTGTGAGTGTAAAGACTGGGACTAGAGTCTGGACAGGTGTGCTTGGCAAGTGCCCTGTATTGTGCCACAAGTTTCATACACATTGAAGTAGCACTATAAACCTCCAGTTGTGATAGATGTGTAGTCATGTGAACACTAGACAATATACAACCCACACAGAGCCTCACTAGTTTTCTGATAGATGTGTAGTCATGTGAACACTAGACAATATACAACCCACACAGAGCCTCACTAGTTTTCTGATAGATGTGTAGTCATGTGAACACTAGACAATATACAACCCAAACAGGGCCTCACTATGTCTCCTGATCTTTGTGAATGGAACGTGAAGGGATCGAAGCCATTAGCTTTTGTAGCCACCACCGTGTCCAGGCAAGCGGTCAGTCTCAAAGGAAAAGTGGGCTCCCTGACCGATCTTGTTCCTGGGGGTTTACGTAGAGTCATGTTGAAGGGCACTCGATGAGTTTCTTTCACAAATATTAGGGGACATAATTGTTTCTTCCATGGTATGGCGATGTACACAGGATACATGGATGTTTGTGTAAAATTCGCCCCAATACCCTCAAATGAAATGAACAATAGAATCATGTTTAGATTATTATGCAAATTGTGTTAATGTATTTAGTTTGTCCTCAGTAATTTTCAGATGGTTCTACTTTCCAGAGACCATAAATGTGCATTGTTTTAGAAGTTTATTTTGTGAAGGGGTTTTGAAAAGCATCTGTTTTTATGAAATTCTCCAGAGTTCCATGTGAGAGCAGTGGTGTGTGGACTTGGAGATATATTGTCTCAGCTGTTCATCATAACAACCTATTAAGAAGCCTTCACAGAATCTGTATTGATTAAGTAATGTAGGAGTTATTTGTAATTAGAAGCCGCCGCTGCGATGAGTTTAGTCACACTCAGGATGAAGAGATAATCAATTACGTTGATCGAGCAGCACACCATGTCGCCACACAACAACTAACTGTAGCAACTACAGAGAGAGTGTGGATTTGTCATTGGCCTTAACGAGTACTTGCCTTTGAATTTAGCCTGACACATTTAACCTGTATATCCAAAGGGAAGGCATTGGCCTCTTTGAAGATGGTATATAACATCCCAGAAGTCAAATACTGTGTGTTTTATTTGTGTATCATTGTAATGTATTTGGGTGTATGTGTCATTCTGTAGTAGTGAGTATGGTTTTACGCCGCTTTTAGAAATATTCCAGCAATATCACAGTGGGAGACACCAGAATTGGCTTCACACATTGTATCCATGTGGGGAATCGAACCTGGGTCTTTGTCGTGATGAGCGAACGCTTTAACCACTAGGCTACCCCACTGCCCCTGTTATTCTGTAGTAGATTTGAAAGCTGCTAATTTCATGTTTGAACTGATAACATTAGAATAAAGTTTGGAATTTGAAAACCTCTAACTTGAAAATTCAAAGGGTTTACCCTGCCAAATATACTCATTATACAAGAGTATGCAAATTTGTTTTGGTTCTACATATATGACCATTTCAGAAATTAGGTTATACAAGATGTGATTTAGTTCTACATATATGACTGTTTGAAAAATATATAATTAGGTCTTTAGGTGTCTCAATTGCAGCAGATAAGTATTGACAGTCAATTTGTCTGATGTTTGCAGCTGGATGTGAATCACCCACTAGATGAACAAGGACCATTCGATGCCATCCTACACAAGTTGGCAGACCTGCAGGCCCACGCTGATGCAGGATACACCGTGGCACAGCAGCAGCTGGCCAATGTCAAGGTGAGACACGCAGTAGGTCATACACCAGGCCACGTGATTGTGCCACTGTCAACCACTGGCTTGCCTGACCCACACTCCATTATTTATAGGCTTTTGTTTTGTTTGTGTGTTGTTTAATGCCACACTCAGCAATATTACATCTATATGACGGTGCTCTGTAAACAATCGAGTCTGGACCAGACAATCCAGTGATTGACATATGATGACATGCATCAACCAAGTCAGCGATCCTGAGCAGTTGATCCTGTTAGTCGCCTACTTACAACAAGCATAATCGCCTAATTTACAGGCAAGAGGAATCAGCAGAGATAGGACTTAAATAATGCTGTCTGTGCATAACCACATCCACACATACGTCATACAACCACACTGACAGTGACATTTTACATGTCACAATTTTATTGTGGAAGTACAGATTTCATAAATGTTACTGCTCACGACTATGTGTTTTTAAGGATCCGGGTTTCTATGTTCCTGTCGTAATAACTAAATGTTTTGTCTGCATCTTATTTAAGAGATCATCTGGTCTGACTGACGAATGAATGGACAGATGAATGCACCGTTAAAAAACCCAAACAAATGAATGAAAGTAACAGCGTTCGAAAGTTGTTTCTTCTCTTTGTGGTGATTGATTCACCACAGTAGACATCCTGGACCCCGCTCCACACAGCGATCTTAGCGCTAATTTAAGACTATTGTAAGCCTATGCTGAAGTATGGGAGTTACGATCATCTTGGCGCTAAGATCTCTTTGTACAAGTGGGCCCTGGACCTCACTTCACACAGCGATCATAGTGCCAAGGTGATCGTAACTCCCATATTATAACAATAACTTATGACAGTCATAGCTCTACGATCACTTTGTAAAAAGTGGGCCCTGGACCTCACTCCACACAGCGATCATAGTGCCAAGGTGATCGTAACTCCCATATTATAACAATAACTTATGACAGTCATAGCTCTACGATCACTTTGTAAAAAGTGGGCCCTGGACCTCACTCCACACAGCGATCATAGTGCCAAGGTGATCGTAACTCCCATATTATAACAATAACTTATGACAGTCATAGCTCTACGATCGCTTTGTACAAGTGGGCCCTGGACCTCACTCCACACAGCGATCATAGTGCCAAGGTGATCGTAACTCCCATATTATAACAATAACTTATGACAGTCATAGCTCTACGATCACTTTGTACAAGTGGGCCCTGGACCTCACTCCACACAGCGATCATAGTGCCAAGGTGATCGTAACTCCCATATTATAACAATAACTTATGACAGTCATAGCTCTACGATCACTTTGTACAAGTGGGCCCTGGACCTCACTCCACACAGCGATCATAGTGCCAAGGTGATCGTAACTCCCATATTATAACAATAACTTATGACAGTCATAGCTCTACGATCACTTTGTACAAGTGGGCCCTGGACCTCACTCCACACAGCGATCATAGTGCCAAGGTGATCGTAACTCCCATATTATAACAATAACTTATGACAGTCATAGCTCTACGATCACTTTGTACAAGTGGGCCCTGGACCTCACTCCACACAGCGATCATAGTGCCAAGGTGATCGTAACTCCCATATTATAACAATAACTTATGACAGTCATAGCTCTACGATCACTTTGTACAAGTGGGCCCTGGACCTCACTCCACACAGCGATCATAGTGCCAAGGTGATCGTAACTCCCATATTATAACAATAACTTATGACAGTCATAGCTCTACGATCACTTTGTACAAGTGGGCCCTGGACCTCACTCCACACAGCGATCATAGTGCCAAGGTGATCGTAACTCCCATATTATAACAATAACTTATGACAGTCATAGCTCTACGATCACTTTGTACAAGTGGGCCCTGGACCTCACTCCACACAGCGATCATAGTGCCAAGGTGATCGTAACTCCCATATTATAACAATAACTTATGACAGTCATAGCTCTACGATCACTTTGTACAAGTGGGCCCTGGACCTCACTCCACACAGCGATCATAGTGCCAAGGTGATCGTAACTCCCATATTATAACAATAACTTATGACAGTCATAGCTCTACGATCACTTTGTAAAAAGTGGGTCCCAGTTGGTAACAACAAGCTTCCGGAGCATATCTTGAAAACCGTACAATATTTCTTGCCTTGCACACAACCGGACATGTCAGTGGCGGGTGATATGAATATTTCATGCTTGTTTGATGAGGCACACTACATGCTGGTGGAGTATTATACATGGCTGTGGAGATAGAAAATGGTGTTTACAATACGTGTTTGTTCAATCTGATGTGCATGCAGGGTGTGCAGAATGTGTTCAAACATGTGGAGGCTGTACAGATTTGAACAAATCAAAAAACTAATATTAGAATTTCTTTCCAATGGAGAAATAATGATAAATGCCACTTTCTATTTGTGCAATGCCCTGCCTGTCAGATGGTGGTGGGTGGGGTGATTTAGGGGGGTTACCGCCCGTATATAATACCTCCCCAACCCTTATAGAAATAGAGACTTCATGAGGTCCATTCCTGGTTCTATCCACCCGACATGTTATATTGTCCATAGAAACAGGTATTAACTGAAATAAAAAGTATATATTTGCTTATTATTTAATAAACAAAAAACAAAGACACATAAAAACATTCAAACATTTTAATGAACAAACAACATTTGTCATAGTATGTTAACGTTAATCAGTTCAGAGGTGAAAAAAACTATTACTTGTTTTAAAAACTAGATTTTCTGTACATTTTTACAGTACCGGTAGGAATACGAATATTCCTAAGGTGTGTGATACGTACATGATAACCTTTCTGCTGTAAGGTGTATCCTACACACATACAACCCTCCATAAGGTGTGTGATACGTACATGATAACATTCTATAAGGTGTGTGATACATACATGATAACATTCTATAAGGTGTGTGATACATACATGATAACTTGTATGCTGTAAGGTGTGATACATACATGATAACCTGTCTACTGTAAGGTGTGTCCTACACACATACAACCCGCCATAAGGTGTGTGATACATACATGATAACTTGTATGCTGTAAGGCGTGATACATACATGATAACTTGTATGCTGTAAGGTGTGATACATACATGATAACCTGTCTACTGTAAGGTGTGTCCTACACACATACAACCCGCCATAAGGTGTGTGATACATACATGATAACTTGTATGCTGTAAGGCGTGATACATACCTGATAACTTGTATGCTGTAAGGTGTGATACATACATGATAACCTGTCTACTGTAAGGTGTGTCCTACACACATACAACCCGCCATAAGGTGTGTGATACATACATGATAACTTGTATGCTGTAAGGCGTGATACATACATGATAACTTGTATGGTGTAAGGTGTGATACATACATGATAACCTGTCTACTGTAAGGTGTGTCCTACACACATACAACCCGCCATAAGGTGTGTGATACATACATGATAACCTGTCTGCTGTAAGGTGTGATACGTTCATGATAACCTGTCTGCTGTAAGGTGTATTCTACACACATACAACCCTCCATAAGGTGTGTGATACATACATGATAACCTGTCTGCTGTAAGGTGTGTCCTACACACATACAACCCTCCATAAGGTGTGTGATACATACATGATAACTTGTATGGTGTAAGGTGTGATACGTTCATGATAACCTGTCTGCTGTAAGGTGTATCCTACACACATACAACCCTCCATAAGGTGTGTGATACGTACATGATAACCTGTCTGCTGTAAGGTGTGATACATACATGATAACCTGTCTGCTGTAAGGTGTATCCTACACACATACAACCCTCCATAAGGTGTGTGATACATACATGATAACTTGTATGCTGTAAGGTGTGATACGTTCATGATAACCTGTCTGCTGTAAGGTGTGTCCTACACACATACAACCCGCCATAAGGTGTGTGATACATACATGATAACCTGTATGCTGTAAGGTGTGATACGTTCATGATAACCTGTCTGCTGTAAGGTGTATCCTACACACATACAACCCACCATAAGGTGTGTGATACGTACATGATAACCTGTATGCTGTAAGGTGTATCCTACACACATACAACCCACCATAAGGTGTGTGATACGTACATGATAACCTGTATGCTGTAAGGTGTATCCTACACACATACAACCCACCATAAGGTGTGTGATACGTACATGATAACCTGTATGCTGTAAGGTGTGATACATACATGATAACCTGTCTGCTGTAAGGTGTATCCTACACACATACAACCCTCAATAAGGTGTGTGATACATACATGATAACTTGTATGCTGTAAGGTGTGATACGTACATGATAACCTTTCTGCTGTAAGGTGTGATACATACATGATAACCTGTCTGCTGTAAGGTGTGATACATACATGATAACCTGTCTGCTGTAAGGTGTATCCTACACACATACAACCCTCCATAAGGTGTGTGATACGTACATGATAACTTGTATGCTGTAAGGTGTGATACGTACATGATAACTTGTATGCTGTAAGGTGTGATACGTTCATGATAACCTGTCTGCTGTAAGGTGTGTCCTACACACATACAACCCTCCATAAGGTGTGTGATACGTACATGATAACCTGTCTGCTGTAAGGTGTGTCCTACACACATACAACCCTCCATAAGGTGTGTGATACGTACATGATAACCTGTCTGCTGTAAGGTGTGTGATACGTACATGATAACCTGTCTGCTGTAAGGTTGGTTGGTTGGTTTGTTGTTTAACGCCGCACTCGGCAATATTCCAGCAATATGATGACGGTCTGTAAATAATCGAGTCTGGACCAGACAATCCAGTGATCTGCCTACATCCTCCTGTATAAACCTGCTGACGCTCTGCCTACATCCTCCTGTGTAAAACTACTGACGCTCTACCTACATCCTCCTGTATAAACCTGCTGACTCTCTGCCTACATCCTTCTGTATAAACCTGCTGACTCTCTGCCTACATCCTTCTGTATAAACCTGCTGACTCTCTGCCTACATCCTTCTGTATAAACCTACTGATGCTCTGCCTACATCCTCCTGTATAAACCTACTGATGCTCTGCCTACATCCTTCTGTATAAACCTGCTGACTCTCTGCCTACATCCTTCTGTATAAACCTGCTGACTCTCTGCCTACATCCTTCTGTATAAACCTACTGACTCTCTGCCTACATCCTCCTGTATAAACCTGCTGACTCTCTGCCTACATCCTTCTGTATTAACCTGCTGAAGCTCTGCCTACATCCTTCTGTATAAACCTGCTGACGCTTTGCCTACATCCTCCTGTATAAACCTACTGACTCTCTGCCTACATCCTCCTGTATAAACCTACTGACTCTCTGCCTACATCCTTCTGTATAAACCTGCTGACTCTCTGCCTACATCCTTCTGTATAAACCTGCTGACGCTCTGCCTACATCCTTCTGTATAAACCTGCTGACGCTCTGCCTACATCCTTCTGTATAAACCTGCTGATGCTCTGCCTACATCCTCCTGTATAAACCTGCTGACACTGCCTACATCCTCCTGTATAAACCTGCTGACACTCTGCCTACATCCTCCTGTATAAACCTACTGACTCTCTGCCTACATCCTTCTGTATAAACCTGCTGACTCTCTGCCTACATCCTCCTGTATAAACCTGCTGACACTGCCTACATCCTCCTGTATAAACCTGCTGATGCTCTGCCTACATCCTCCTGTATAAACCTACTGATGCTCTGCCTACATCCTTCTGTATAAACCTGCTGATGCTCTGCCTACATCCTCCTGTATAAACCTGCTGACTCTCTGCCTACATCCTTCTGTATAAACCTACTGATGCTCTGCCTACATCCTTCTGTATAAACCTGCTGATGCTCTGCCTACATCCTTCTGTATAAACCTGCTGACTCTCTGCCTACATCCTTCTGTATAAACCTGCTGACTCTCTGCCTACATCCTCCTGTATAAACCTGCTGATGCTCTGCCTACATCCTTCTGTATAAACCTACTGATGCTCTGCCTACATCCTTCTGTATAAACCTACTGATGCTCTGCCTACATCCTTCTGTATAAACCTACTGATGCTCTGCCTACATCCTTCTGTATAAACCTGCTGATGCTCTGCCTACATCCTCCTGTATAAACCTACTGATGCTCTGCCTACATCCTCCTGTATAAACCTGCTGACACTGCCTACATCCTCCTGTATAAACCTACTGATGCTCTGCCTACATCCTCCTGTATAAACCTACTGATGCTCTGCCTACATCCTTCTGTATAAACCTACTGATGCTCTGCCTACATCCTTCTGTATAAACCTGCTGATGCTCTGCCTACATCCTTCTGTATAAACCTACTGACGCTCTGCCTACATCCTCCTGTATAAACCTACTGATGCTCTGCCTACATCCTTCTGTATAAACCTACTGATGCTCTGCCTACATCCTTCTGTATAAACCTGCTGATGCTCTGCCTACATCCTTCTGTGTAAAACTACTGACGCTCTGCCTACATCCTCCTGTGTAAACCTGCTGACTCTCTGCCTACATCCTTCTGTATAAACCTGCTGACTCTCTGCCTACATCCTTCTGTATAAACCTGCTGACTCTCTGCCTACATCCTTCTGTATAAACCTGCTGACTCTCTGCCTACATCCTTCTGTATAAACCTACTGACTCTCTGCCTACATCCTTCTGTATAAACCTACTGATGCTCTGCCTACATCCTTCTGTATAAACCTGCTGACTCTCTGCCTACATCCTTCTGTATAAACCTGCTGACTCTCTGCCTACATCCTTCTGTATAAACCTGCTGACTCTCTGCCTACATCCTTCTGTATAAACCTGCTGACTCTCTGCCTACATCCTCCTGTATAAACCTGCTGACTCTCTGCCTACATCCTCCTGTATAAACCTACTGATGCTCTGCCTACATCCTCCTGTATAAACCTGCTGACACTGCCTACATCCTCCTGTATAAACCTGCTGATGCTCTGCCTACATCCTCCTGTATAAACCTACTGATGCTCTGCCTACATCCTTCTGTATAAACCTACTGATGCTCTGCCTACATCCTTCTGTATAAACCTGCTGATGCTCTGCCTACATCCTTCTGTATAAACCTACTGATGCTCTGCCTACATCCTTCTGTATAAACCTGCTGACGCTCTGCCTACATCCTTCTGTATAAACCTGCTGACGCTCTGCCTACATCCTTCTGTATAAACCTGCTGACTCTCTGCCTACATCCTCCTGTATAAACCTACTGATGCTCTGCCTACATCCTCCTGTATAAACCTGCTGACTCTCTGCCTACATCCTTCTGTATTAACCTACTGATGCTCTGCCTACATCCTCCTGTATAAACCTGCTGACTCTCTGCCTACATCCTCCTGTATAAACCTGCTGACTCTCTGCCTACATCCTTCTGTATAAACCTACTGATGCTCTGCCTACATCCAGTGTAATGTTCACATATTGTTAAATTTGTGATTTTGTTTTTAGCTTTTTTGTCACAAGTAATATTAAAAATGACAAACGATGACAAGGTGTTTATGTTATTGAATCCCTCTAACAAGAACGCCATCTGTACCTGGCAGGTGCTGTAGACACACATTGATTTGTAGTTCATTACAGATGGGCTCACCAGGTACAGAATACTTCAAACAAGTGTATCTCGCGACATCAGACAATGATTTGTAGTTCATTACAGATGGGCTCACCAGCTACAGAATACTTCAAACAAGTGTATCTCGCGACATCAGACAATGATGGGGGAAGCAGTAGCTACATACAACTCCCCTGCACCTTCTGTATCATGACTTAATCCTGAAATCGGTGCACACAGAACTAAAGTGTGAAATCAGTAAATGACCACACAGGATTAACAGAGATGCCGTCCATCACAATTTGGGTGTAATTGTTACGATTTTGAGATGAAAATTCTGCTATTATGCTTGTTCTCACCCAAATTACGATGTTTGTAAATTTTTTCACGAAGTATTTACATGCGTAAATTATCACAGAGAGCATTTTACAGCAAGACTATACTGACCAATGAGAGCCATGCTTTTAATTCACATAATGTTAAAATATCCATTTTTCAGTGATATGAGTTCTCTGATTGGTTATTTAAGTTTAAAACAAATTTTATTAATTGATCTTTGCAGGTGCAGACATGGATCTAGTTGCATGTACTCGAACAAAACTCCAAACAACTCCAAACACCACATTGTCTTTCTGAAAAACAATTAATTCGTATCAAATGAGGAATTTTATGAATGTGTGGAGCTTTGACCACATGCTTCACTTGCACGTAGGCCACACAAAATTGAGGAAAGCGAAAACCCTGATCATGGTACTCTGAGCGTTACATTTTTTCACATGAAGTTACACTTTTCTTAACCCACTGATTACTCCAAAGCTTCTATTAAGGTTGGCATCTCTGGACCAATGAAAAACAAATCAATTATATTTGAGTACAAAGTTTAAGGTTTACAATCAAAGAGGCAATACAATGGGTCAAACAAATGGTAGCAGCAATAAGTAGCAGGCCCTAGAAATAATGTAACTGCTGTCACAAATGTCCAGGTTTTTCTCATTGTCAAATGTTTTGAAACAGAACTGTCTCTGTTCTTAAATCCAGAACTGTGTTGTAAGCTGGCTGGAATTTGGTGTTTCCGTTTAGGTATGCAATCCACACTTCGCAAGTAGTAGCACTTGATAAGTTTTCCTTGTAGTCATTACCTGGCGCTGACAGTTACTACAAACATTTTCAGCAGTTTCTACCACCATTAACATTACTTCCACATGATACCCATGTATCACGGCCTCAGCCATGCACATCAGGTCAAGTTCATGGACCTGGAAAATTGAAGGTCGAACATCAAGTTGATGAAACCCTAGATTTTCCCTGGGGTTTGTTTCCGGACAACTTCTTGACAAGTATTGATGGACGTTGATCACATTCCTCTGGGGATTCTCACAGGCTATTGCCAGTGGAGTTATCAGCTGATTGATGTGGGGTTAGGATGGCCTAGTATCTTGCTCCAGCTTCTCTCTGATTGTAATTAGTGCTGTTTGTTTCAGGATTACATCACCAGCCACCCCGAGTGCATCGTGATCGACCCGCTGCCGAGTATGGTGAATCTGCTGGACCGGTACAACCAGTACAAGATGGTGCAGGAGAGTAGCCTGTTCCAGCACGGTGAGGAGGCCATGCTCACCACATTACAACCACGGGAAAAAAACTTTGTTTTGGGGGAAACCCACCCGACCCTGCAGAGTATTTCAGACTTACATGTTTCTTGCCATCTTTAGTTATTTATGTCTTTTAGTCAGTAATTGTGAGTTTTAAAAAAAAACAACTAAAAAATCCTGACCTACCAGCATGACGTAAAGGTGTCGAGCTGCCCTATTGCGTTACATAGTTATGATTTCCTGAAACAGCAGGGTACTGTTCAACAGAGAGATCGTAGCACTAAGACAATCGTAACTCCCATACTTTAACATAGATTCACGACAGTTGTAGCTACGATCTTTTTGTGGAAAGGGGGCAAGAAATACCCTGATTATGTCCCTTGGTTGATCAGCACCATATCCAGCTTGTGGCTTTGGCTAAAGTGGTCTTCAACCTGCATTTGTAGGGACTTTCACATTAGACCAAACTGCTGTGAGGTGACCAAAAGCATATATAAACAGGCCTTTAATTCAACTCACTTGTTTCCTTTTGAACAGAAGGCCTCAAGTTTTGATGTTTTGTTCCAGACTCCGATGTGTTCATGCCAACATTTGTAGAGTTGACCTCGAGTGACCTGGACACCAACCGCCGGAAGCTGTCAGAGGCCCAAGTCACGTACCCTATCGGTTGGTCTTCCTTGAAGTTATTCATTTTATGTTTTGTAAATGTATGCTATAATGAGACAATAATCAGTACGTGTGCTGTATACACAGCAAGTGTCAGTATGACTGAGTGTGAATAATACATGTGTGGACACAATTTCGTAAAATCTTTAGGAAACAAACACAAATGTAATAATCTCTCTTTATTGTCCCAGAATAGATCCCCAGTACCCCATGCTTGTCTCCCCGTGGGGATTCCAGGTCAGAATAGATCCCCAGTACCCCATGCTTGTCTCCCCGTGGGGATTCCAGGGCAGAATAGATCCCCAGTACCCCATGCTTGTCTCCCCGTGGGGATTCCAGGTCAGAATAGATCCCCAGTACCCCATGCTTGTCTCCCCGTGGGGATTCCAGGGCAGAATAGATCCCCAGTACCCCATGCTTGTCTCCCCGTGGGGATTCCAGGGCAGAATAGATCCCCAGTACCCCATGCTTGTCTCCCTGTGAGATTCCAGGTCAGAATAGGTCCCCAGTACCCCATGCTTGTCTCCCCGTGGGGATTCCAGGGCAGAATAGATCCCCAGTACCCCATGCTTGTGTCCCTGTGAGATTCCAGGGCAGAATAGATCCCCAGTACCCCATGCTTGTCTCCCTGTGAGATTCCAGGGCAGAATAGATCCCCAGTACCCCATGCTTGTCTCCCTGTGAGATTCCAGGGCAGAATAGATCCCCAGTACCCCATGCTTGTCTCCCTGTGAGATTCCAGGGCAGAATAGATCCCCAGTACCCCATGCTTGTGTCCCTGTGAGATTCCAGGGCAGAATAGATCCCCAGTACCCCATGCTTGTCTCCCTGTGAGATTCCAGGGCAGAATAGATCCCCAGTACCCCATGCTTGTCTCCCTGTGAGATTCCAGGTCAGAATAGATCCCCAGTACCCCATGCTTGTCTCCCTGTGAGATTCCAGGGCAGAATAGATCCCCAGTACCCCATGCTTGTCTCCCTGTGAGATTCCAGGGCAGAATAGATCCCCAGTACCCCATGCTTGTCTCCCTGTGAGATTCAAGGGCAGAATAGATCCCCAGTACCCCATGCTTGTCTCCCTGTGAGATTCCAGGGCAGAATAGATCCCCAGTACCCCATGCTTGTGTCCCTGTGAGATTCCAGGGCAGAATAGATCCCCAGTACCCCATGCTTGTCTCCCTGTGAGATTCCAGGGCAGAATAGATCCCCAGTACCCCATGCTTGTCTCCCTGTGAGATTCCAGGGCAGAATAGATCCCCAGTACCCCATGCTTGTCTCCCTGTGAGATTCCAGGTCAGAATAGGTCCCCAGTACCCCATGCTTGTCTCCCTGTGAGATTCCAGGTCAGAATAGATCCCCAGTACCCCATGCTTGTCTCCCTGTGAGATTCCAGGTCAGAATAGATCCCCAGTACCCCATGCTTGTCTCCCTGTGAGATTCCAGGGCAGAATAGATCCCCAGTACCCCATGCTTGTCTCCCTGTGAGATTCCAGGGCAGAATAGAACCCAAGTACCCCATGCTTGTCTCCCTGTGAGATTCCAGGGCAGAATAGATCCCCAGTACCCCATGCTTGTCTCCCTGTGAGATTCCAGGTCAGAATAGGTCCCCAGTACCCCATGCTTGTCTCCCTGTGAGATTCCAGGTCAGAATAGATCCCCAGTACCCCATGCTTGTCTCCCTGTGAGATTCCAGGTCAGAATAGATCCCCAGTACCCCATGCTTGTCTCCCTGTGAGATTCCAGGGCAGAATAGATCCCCAGTACCCCATGCTTGTCTCCCTGTGAGATTCCAGGTCAGAATAGAACCCAAGTACCCCATGCTTGTCTCCTTGTAGGGATTCCAGGTCAGAATAGGTCCCCAGTACCCCCATGCTTGTCTCCCTGCGAGATTCCAGGGCAGAATAGATCCTCAGTACCCCCATGCTTGTCTCCCTTTGAGATTCCAGGGCAGAATAGATCCTCAGTACCCCCATGCTTGTCTCCCTGTGAGATTCCAGGTCAGAATAGATCCCCAGTACCCCATGCTTGTCTCCCTGTGGGATTCCAGGGCAAAATAGGTCCCCAGTACCCCATGCTTGTCTCCCTGTGAGATTCCAGGGCAGAATAGATCCCCAGTACCCCATGCTTGTCTCCCTGTGAGATTCCAGGTCAGAATAGATCCCCAGTACCCCATGCTTGTCTCCCTGTGAGATTCCAGGTCAGAATAGATCCCCAGTACCCCATGCTTGTCTCCCTGTGAGATTCCAGGGCAGAATAGAACCCAAGTACCCCATGCTTGTCTCCTTGTAGGGATTCCAGGTCAGAATAGGTCCCCAGTACCCCATGCTTGTCTCCCTGTGAGATTCCAGGGCAGAATAGATCCCCAGTACCCCATGCTTGTCTCCCTGTGAGATTCCAGGTCAGAATAGATCCCCAGTACCCCATGCTTGTCTCCCTGTGAGATTCCAGGTCAGAATAGGTTCCCAGTACCCCATGCTTGTCTCCCTGTGAGATTCCAGGTCAGAATAGATCCCCAGTACCCCATGCTTGTCTCCCTGTGAGATTCCAGGGCAGAATAGAACCCAAGTACCCCATGCTTGTCTCCTTGTAGGGATTCCAGGTCAGAATAGATCCCCAGTACCCCATGCTTGTCTCCCTGTGAGATTCCAGGGCAGAATATATCCCCAGTACCTCATGCTTGTCTCCCTTTGAGATTCCAGGGCAGAATATATCCCCAGTACCTCATGCTTGTCTCCCTTTGAGATTCCAGGGCAGAATATATCCCCAGTACCCCATGCTTGTCTCCCTTTGAGATTCCAGGGCAGAATATATCCCCAGTACCTCATGCTTGTCTCTCTGTGAGATTCAAGGGCAGAATAGGTCCCCAGTACCCCATGCTTGTCTCCCTGTGAGATTCCAGGGCAGAATAGATCCCCAGTACCCCATGCTTGTCTCCTTGTGAGATTCCAGGGCAGAATATATCCCCAGTACCTCATTATTGTAGTTACAGCCAATTGAGTTTGGGATTGAGCTGTCATACCCTGTGGTTTGTTTGGGTATGCCATTGCACCCAGGCTGGGGGACGTAGCATGGGACATTAATCTGGGCTGAAAGAGAAAATCTTATCCACTGAAGAGAATACTAAGTGCTTGATAGGTGTGCTTTAGCTGTGTCAGCAACTCCTGATCTGTTGAGTGATACTGTGTTTGTTCCTTGCAGTGTGTAAGCCAAGCATTGCTCACGGCTCCAAGCTGTCTCACAAGGTATGTTGTTGTCTCACACAGGACCAGGCAGTCAAGGAACTGGAACACATTGTTAAGAGTTAACCCAGGATTTACTGGTATTATTTAACTCAGAGATTAAATCCAAAAATAAACTGTACTATGATTACAAAGTGAAAGAAGAATTGCATAATTAAGCAAGTGTGAATTATTCAAGGGGAAATAATAGCATTTACATTGTAAAAGAACAGACAATGTGCCAATGTGCTGCTTCACAAGAGAAAATGATAAAATGTTCATACGTTAAATGATTATAAATTATTGGTTCTTAGTTAAATTCATATCCTTGTTGGGTAAAGTACAAATAATATATCAGTCTTTAATGATGAGTGCAATGTCCTCCTGTTGTAATCACAATACCACTGTTTAGGTATCCCAACTCAAATTCTAGAAATTCTCAAAGGTCCACACAATCACTGGTCTTGCCTCACACAACTTGCCCAACAGTCTCCAAAAATTTTCCTAACACCTGGTCACATGACCACTTAACTAACAGTGGCAGTCGGGTAGCCTCGAGGTTTAAGCGTTTGCTCATCACGCCGAAGACCCGGGTTCGATTCCTGACATACGTACAACGTGTGAAGCCCATTTCTGGTGTCCCCTGCCATGATATTGCTGGAATATTGCTAAAAGCACCGTTAAACCATACTGACTGACTCACTCACTCACTTAACTAACAACTAAATAAGCAGCACCCTGTTAAAAAAAAGACAACTTTGAAAAACGTTTGCTTCTCTTCTCTCACTTGTTCAGCGCTATGACTGAAGAATGTGACTGGGTGACTGTGAATTCACATTTTGCAGGATTGACTATCAAGAAAGTCATGTATCACAAAAGCTGCCATTTTCTTTGCTCTATCAGTTAGAGGAATTATCTAGTACCACTTTAAGAGATCAAACTTGGTTTGTTTGTATGTTTGTTTGTTGTTTAATGCCACACTCAGCAATATTCCAGCTATATGACTGTAAATAATCGTGTCTGGGCCAGACAATCCAGCGATAGACGTCATGAGCATTGATCCACACAATTGGGATACAATGACATGCATCAACCAAGTCAGCGAGCTTGACCACCGATCATGTTAGTCGCCTCTTACGACAAGCATAGTCGCCTTTTACGGCGAGGTTGGATTGCTGATGACCTATTCAAACGCGGATGTTCACGGGTCTCAAACTTAGTAACGCATTTAGAATTATCTATGTGATGGATTGGGCATTATTGATACAGTTCACTGACTGATACAATCTGACTTTGACAGTTTCCACTCAGTCTCTGCTAATTTCTCCAATTTCTTATCAACACACCTTCTTGTAATAAGAGATTTGACTGACTTCCTCGGGATCTGGCCGCTACATTTCTCTGTACCTCAGGGAGTTTGAGCCTCTTGAGGCTAATCCACCTTGCCTACTTCCTAGTAATATGGTAATCTCAAAACGAGACAATGGAATCATGAGAAAGACTAACACAGACAAATTAAGGGGAGGTTCGGTAGACTTGCGATTAAAGAGTTTGCTGGTTTAATGCATGACATGGGTACAATGAGTGAAGCTCATTTCTGGTGTTGAATATAGCTAAAAGCAGCGTAAAACCAAATGCACTCACTCACTCCAGACAAGACAGTGGACTCAAGAGAAGGGCTAACACCAGCCTGTTGGGATGAAATCAGGATGACTGTAGACATTGACATTCAAGTTGACGTCCGGGGTCATGGGAGGCCCAGTCGTCTTAGGTGCTGCAGTTCACTGTGAAGAGTTGCGTCCTCTATACATGATGATAGTGGGTTCAAATCCCAGTTCACCCTGATTATGTTTCTAGGTTTGTCGGCACCATACCCATGCACGTGGGTTTCACCTCAGTAAACGTCTGAAACCACTTTGGGCTTTCCTCCCACATTAACAGATCGAGATATTACTAGAATACTGTTCAAATCAGCATTAAAGACCATCTCACACTGAGAGGCTCCAGTGACTGCCACCCAATGCAGAAAGTTTTAAGCAGCTGCCAACGCCACTGTTGTTTTTCTACTACTACTACTACTACTACTACTACTACTACTACTACTTCTACTTCTACTTCTACTTCTACTTCTACTCGCTTACCTGCTATCCCTCCCCTATACCCCTGGTAATTGAAGGTCACTCAGTGTAAACTAGAAAGTTCATCTCATACAGTTCTCTCATGCCGTCAAGTCACCTGGTCACTTACCACTTAACTCACTCACCCACTCACTCAAGTCACCTGGTCACTTACCACTTAACTCATTATATGTATGTACTTTTACAAATCTTCTGTTTGAATTATTCAAATGAACATGATTCAGTTAAGGTGTATAAGACTTGTGTGATTATTGACACTGACAGGTCAGGTGTCACAGCTGAGGAAGCAGGCTGAATTACTTTCATACAATTGAAGGAGTCAGAACACGTTTCTAATTTCACAGTTGAGCGATTTAGTAGTGAAAGGAATCCATTGTTTGTGTAGTGAACAACAGTTGTCACACATGCTGTAGAACAGAGTGAGTCTATGTTTAGTTGTAAGGAGAGTAGCATGTACCAGGGACCTGTATTGATCTGTGATAATAGCATTTAGCTAATTGATGAATGGGTATCTAGTTTCTTAGAACAAAACGGTACTACTCAAGTTGAAATACACATGAATGATGTTCCTATTCATAAATGAATGAATGAATATTGTTTTATGCCACATCAGCAATATTACAGCTATGGGGACTATGCTGAAGGTGGACCTACATACATCAGCCTTAGTGAAGTCATATCAGTCGGTCAACTATACTCCCCAACAAAAGGAATGCGAATACCATACTTGTTGGTTAATATATGAAGAATAACTCATATTCAAGAGATATTAGATTGGATTAATGCACAAATGAACATACTGGTATGTTGTGTGAACCAATGCTCATGCACGCATCACATGTAACGTCATAGATCCATGACTAGAGATGCACCATTTGTCTTGTGCAGGATTAGCGTGTAAAGTTTGCATATCGTGATAAGAATAATGACACTCCGTGGTAACACTGGACTGATTGTTAGTTTATTAAATGGTACATGTTGGAATCATCTCATCTTAATGTACATACTTCTCCATACACTCCGTGGTAACACTGGACTGATTGTTAGTTTATTAAATGGTACATGTTGGAATCATCTCATCTTAATGTACATACTTCTCCATATGTTTCAATAGTTTTGCATTTCTTTTTATGGTGAGTATATTTCTAATATTGATTGTTTCTCTTTCTGCTACTTCCAGATGGCGATCGTGTTCACCGAGGCTGGTCTGTCGGACCTCGTGTTTCCATGTGTAGCTCAGTCTTTTATCAACCACAATGCGCTGCTCTTCAAGATATACGCTGTCGGGGACAAGTACTATATTGCGGAAAGGCCGTCACTGAAGAACTTCTATGCCGGGGGTATGAAGCCAGCCTTGTCATGTCCAGAAAAATAGTTTACTTTATTAAATTGAATGTTTCAACGTGACTTTCCTTGGTTTCTCACTGACATCTAACCTTGATTTATACAGCTGTACATGTAATCTCATCTTTTTCAGATCACAAGACAATATTCTTCGATACCCACAATGTATCAAAGCGAGGTTGCTCCCACTATCTCACAATAGTAAGTACTTGGCAGTCTTACCTGTGCTACACCTCGGGGTGGGCTGGGGTTGAGGTGTTGGTGGGGTGAGGATGAGGTGCTGGCTGGGGGAGGGGTGTGTGGGTGGGGGGAAGGTGGGGGGTAGTGAGGCGTGGGTGGGGTGGGGTGAGGTGTGTGGGGTGAGGTGTTGGGTAGTGGGGTGAGGTGTTGGTGGGATGGGGTGAGGTGTGGGTGGGGTGAGGTGTGATTGGGGTGAGGTGTGGGTGGGGTGGTGATGAGGTGTTGGGTAGTGGGGTGAGGTGTTGGTGGGATGGGGTGAGGTGTGGGTGGGGTGAGGTGTTGGTGGGATGAGGTGAGGTGTGAGTGGGGTGAGGTGTGGGTGGGGTGGGGTGAGGTGGGTGGGGTGGGGTACTCATTTTCAGAGGAACATCCAAAAGTCTTAACCTATATGGGGATTCCAGGTCAGAGTAGGTCCCCTTCACCCCTATTCTTGCTGCAAGGGACTAATTGGAATGGAGTGAGCAGGATTTGGGTCATGCTTTTTGTCACTGGTTTACTGCAAAGTAAAACAATAACCTGTGAAGATCTGGGGCAGAATAGGCCTTCGGCAACCCATGCTGGTCTCCCTGTGAAGATCTGGGGCAGAATAGGCCTTCGGCAACCCATGCTGGTCGTAAAATCCGACTATGCTTGTCGTAAGAGGCGACTAACAGGATCGAGTGGTCAGGCTCATTGACTTGGTTGATGCATATCATCGTATCTCAATTGCATAGATCGATGATCATGATGTCAATCACTGAATTGTCTGGTCCAGACTTGATTATTTAGAGACTGACATCATATAGCTGGAATATTGATGAGTGCTGCGTCAAACAACAAACAAACAAAAAACCAACAGTGTTGCCTGCCCCCTGGGTTTTCATTTTCTAGACAGTGCCATTCTAACAATTATAAATATTCTTGTTCAAAGCTTGACAAGGCCGATATGGAGCGGTCTCCCCTGGAGCCAGATAAGGAGAAGCTGTGTGACCTTGGCAGTAAGATACGGCAAGTGTTCGACCATGACCTGTTTGGTGTGGACGTGATAATGGACTGCAACACACAGAGATACGCAATCATCGACATCAACTCATTCCCAGGTAAGCAGAACACCTGTGTCCACCCACCGGTCGTAGCCACCTGTATCCACTCAACCGTCGTAGCCACCTGTATCCACCCACTGGTCGTAGCCACCTGTATCCACTCACTGGTGGTAGCCACCTGTATCATCCCACAAGTCATAGCCACCTGTATCCACCCACCGGTCGTAGCCACCTGTATCCACCCACCGGTCGTAGCCACCTGTATCCACCCACCGGTCGTAGCCACCTGTATCCACCCACTGGTCGTAGCCTCCTGTATCCACCCACCGGTCGTAGCCACCTGTATCCACCAACTGGTCGTAGCCACCTGTATCCACCCACCGGTTGTAGCCACTTGTATCCACCCACCGGTATCCACCAACTGGTCGTAGCCACCTGTATCCACCCACCGGTTGTAGCCACTTGTATCCGCCCACCGGTCGTAACCACCTGTATCCACCCACTGGCGTAGCCACCTGTATCCACCCACCGGTCATAGCCACCTGTGTCCACCCACCAGTCGTAGCCACCTGTATCCACCCACCGGTCGTAGCCACCTGTGTCCACCCACCGGTCGTAGCCACCTGTATCCACTCACTGGTCGTAGCCACCTGTATCCACCCACTGGTCGTAGCCACCTGTATCCACTCACTGGTCGTAGCCACCTGTTTCCACTCACTGGCGTAGCCACCTGTATCCACCCACTGGTCATAGCTACCTGTATCCACCCACCGGTCGTAGCCACCTGTATCCACCCACCGGTCGTAGCCACCTGTATCCACTCACTGGCGTAGCCACCTGTATCCACCCACCGGTCATAGCCACCTGTATCCACCCACCGGTCGTAGCCACCTGTATCCACCCACCGGTCGTAGCCACCTGTATCCACCCACCGGTTGTAGCCACCTGTATCCACCCACTGGTCGTAGCCTCCTGTATCCACCCACTGGCGTAGCCACCTGTATCCACCCACTGGTCATTGCCACCTGTATCCACCCACTGGTCGTAGCCACCTGTATCCACCCACCGGTCGTAGCCACCTGTGTCCACCCACCGGTATCCACCAACTGGTTGTAGCCACCTGTATCCACCCACCGGTTGTAGCCACTTGTATCCGCCCACCGGTCGTAGCCACCTGTATCCACCCACTGGCGTAGCCACCTGTATCCACCCACTGGTCATAGCCACCTGTATCCACCAACCGGTCGTAGCCACCTGTGTCCACCCACGAGTCGTAGCCACCTTTATCCACCTACCGGTCGTAGCCACCTGTGTCCACCCACCGGTCGTAGCCACCTGTATCCACCCACAAGTCATAGCCACCTGTATCCACCCAAAGGTCGTAGCCACCTGTATCCACTCACTGGTCGTAGCCACCTGTATCCACCCACCGGTCGTAGCCACCTGTATCCACCCACCGGTCATAGCCACCTGTATCCACCCACCGGTCGTAGCCACCTGTGTCCACCCACCAGTCGTAGCCATCTTTATCCACCCACCGTCGTAGCCACCTGTGTCCACCCACCGGTTGTAGCCACCTGTATCCACCCAGCGGTATCCACCAACTGGTCGTAGCCACCTGTATCCACCCACCGGTTGTAGCCACTTGTATCCGCCCACCGGTTGTAGCCACTTGTATCCACTCACCCGTCGTAGCCACCTGTATCCACCCACTGGTCGTAGCTACTTGTATCCACCCACCGGTCGTAGCTACTTGTATCCACCCACTGGTCGTAGCTACTTGTATCCACCCACTGGTCGTAGCTACTTGTATCCACCCACCGGTCGTAGCCACCTGTATCCACCCACTGGTCGTAGCCACATGTCAGGGACCCCGTGATATAACTGGGATATTGTTCCAAGCGCCGTTACGCCAAACTCATCTTATGTCGTAATTTGTCTGTATGTGAGTTAGTGAGCATGGTTTTTACACACATTAAATACAACCACATTACTGTTAAAGTGGGATTTAACCCAAATATATTAATTGCAAGTGAATCCATGGCAAGTGATTGGCTAGTGGTTTCCTGATACTATGGGCGGGGCTTGTGTTGCAATACCTCACTGAGCGATGTCACTGAGTTGTGTTAATGATTAAATAAACTCTCTGTGAATTTATTGTTGACATGTTTATTTATAATAATTGACCTTGAACTGTTGTTTGCATTTATGGAGTTGTAAATGTAAAGACTTATGGCACTCTTTGTGTGAGTGTGCACGCTTTGTGTTAGTAAGCACACTTTGTGTTAGTAAGCACGCTTTGTGTTAGTAAGCACACTTTGTGTTAGTGTGCACGCTTTGTGTTAGTAAGCACACTGGTGTTAGTAATCACACTGGTGTTAGTGTGCACGCTTTGTGTTAGTAAGCACACTTTGTGTTAGTAAGCACACTGGTGTTAGTGTGCATGCTTTGTGTTAGTAAGCACACTTTGTGTTAGTAAGCACACTGGTGTTAGTAAGCACACTTTGTGTTAGTAAGCACACTGGTGTTAGTGTGCATGCTTTGTGTTAGTAAGCACACTTTGTGTTAGTAAGCACACTGGTGTTAGTGTGCACACTTTGTGTTAGTAAGCACACTGGTGTTAGTAAGCATGCTTTGTGTTAGTAAGCACACTGGTGTTAGTAAGCACACTGGTGTTAGTAAGCACACTGGTGTTAGTAAGCATGCTTTGTGTTAGTAAGCACACTGGTGTTAGTAAGCATGCTTTGTGTTAGTAAGCACACTGGTGTTAGTAAGCACGCTTTGTGTTAGTAAGCACACTGGTGTTAGTAAGCACACAGGTGTTAGTAAGCACACTGGTGTTAGTAAGCATGCTTTGTGTTAGTAAGCACACTGGTGTTAGTAAGCATGCTTTGTGTTAGTAAGCACACTGGTGTTAGTAAGCACACTGGTGTTAGTAAGCACACTGGTGTTAGTAAGCATGCTTTGTGTTAGTAAGCACACTGGTGTTAGTAAGCATGCTTTGTGTTAGTAAGCACACTGGTGTTAGTGTGCACGCTTTGTGTTAGTAAGCATGCTTTGTGTTAGTAAGCACGCTTTGTGTTAGTAAGCACGCTTTGTGTTAGTAAGCACACTGGTGTTAGTAAGCACACAGGTGTTAGTAAGCACGCTGGTGTTAGTAAGCACGCTTTGTGTTAATAAGCACACTGGTGTTAGTAAGCACGCTTTGTGTTAGTAAGCACACTGCTGTATACATTTATACCTCCGTAAACTCAAAACATTTAAAGTCAATTCTTAACTCACTCACTGGTGTTTGGTTTGTGTGGCTTCAGGCTACGACGAGGTGGAGGACTTCCCCACTGTGCTCCTCCAGTACTTGACAGAGAGGCTGGATGCCAAACCTTCGTCAACCACGCCAGACTCAAACGGGGACCAACGCTTGACCGGCGACCTTGACTGTGATTTGTCTTCCAGAAAGAGGCTCAAACCTAACCTCGAAGCTAATACAGAAACGAGTGAAAGAGTCAATGGAGAAGATACGTTAAATCATATAAAGACGTTGGAATCCATTAATGGCATCCACCCCTTTTCCAGTTCTCTGTTTCGAGGGAAGGAGAGCTCAGTGTGTTCAAATCGGCAGCTAAGTGACGAGTTTAACAGACACACGAACGGCCACCATTGACAAAGGGCTTGGCAAGGGGAGACAACTTTGTTCCCACCTGGATATTAAGGGTCGACAGTATCAACAATGACCAAACTGCGTTGTCTGCATGTCCAGATAGCACTTGTCCTCATCATTACTCCAGTGCAATGTTTGAGCCCAGAATTAAACCACTACATTCTCAGTTTGACTGTATGTAGGTCTTTGATCAGCTTACTGTTTACAGAATGGTTACTTAATTCATAAATACTGTGATTATTTTATATTTCGGTGATTGGATATATTTTAGATACTTTAATGTTTGAAGGATGAGGATTAAGTTTTAAGCAAATATTGAATCAGTATTGATTTTTCGAAATGCTCTTTTAATCATTCAAATATGTCATTTTAAATGACATATTAGAAGGATTAAAAGAGCATTTGGGAATTTAGCAAACTTTTATATGGTATCCTGGCAACGGGTTTTTATCGAATTAACAGCATTATGGGAGAAAGGGGACCTCAACAAGGCAGAAAGCAGTCAATCGCTTCAGTTGTCACCTTGGTAACAGATGTATGAAAATTGTCCTATTAGTATATTAATCACTTCAAATTCGCTTGAATGGGTTATTGTAGTCTAATGTAATCTAATGTACTCTAATGTAGTCTGATGTAATCTCATGTTAAAGTTGTACCATGTTCACGCTTCATCTCAGATAATCCATATCACATGATCTATAGCTTGTATCTACGAATACATTGATATTAGAGGGATGCTAGTCTGTTGTTACAGGGGATAGTTGGCTGGAATGTCTTTGTTCATAGTGTCAAAAACAGAGCAACCCTTTTGGGGCAAACCTCCCCGTAGTATCACAGTCATAACTTAGAATATTTTCTATAAGCCTGGCCCAGTGGACTATTGTCAACCTTTTTCACTAGTCCTCAGAGCTTGTAGCTCTTTCTGCTTGAATGAGACACAAATGGTTTTTTCTATGTTTGCATTTGCTGTCAGTTTTATTCAGTTCTAATTTGTTGACAAATTGAAGCACTCTCTCCCTGATGACCTGCCTGACCCCCGTTCGGTCCTTGACCCCATTCTGTCCTTGACCCTGTTCTGTCCTTGATGACCTGTCCTTGACGACCTGTCCTTGACCCCCTTTTGTCCTTGACGACCTGTCCTTGACCCCCTTTTGTCCTTGACTGTTCTCTCCTTGGATTCTAGACAGCACTTCCCACGTCTCTGAACTCAAAGTTTTCGTATTGTCCACCAAAAATATGATCTGTGGTCATGTTTTGTTTGTTTCTTTGTTGTTTAACGCCGCAAGCAGCAATATTTCAGCTATATGACGGCAGTCTGTAAATGTGCCTCATGAGAGCACAACAACAATTATTAATTTCCTCCGTCAAAAATATCTTCTAGACAACAACTTTTCATTGGTCAATTTAAGATTATTCTCAGTTGTGGTGGCACATGGTTTTGTGTACAGTGCAAATCAGGTAAAGTTAAGCAACGTTTGTCATGGCGAGTCCTTGGAGAGGTGCACTGATCCATTGACCAGGGTAATAATAACGCATACATTGCATGGGAGTTATGGACTTAACAAGGAGATGATGATGATGATGATGATGATGATGATGATGATTATTATTATTATTGGCCATGTCAAACTACTATGATAGCCTCTCTGGTTAAAAAGCCTACCAAGGTTTAAAGAAATTCAAACTTGAACCGTAACATAAAGTCATAGGTTATACAATGATATTCCTCCTGGCCGTGAAGCATATGAAACATCTGTTTATATATACAAGGAGCATATGATACAAATATTTCAAAAGAAATTTGAAAATGTACTTTGTACCCTCATCTGTCAGTAAACAATATGTTGGTATTTGTGATAAGAGTAATCTGGGGTTGTTATGGATGGAGCATGACGACAAGTGTTGGTCTGATCCAGCTTAGGTACTAGAGTGATATACCCTCAGTGCGGACAGACAGATAGTCTTGTTACTGTTCTGTTAGGGGCAGTGGGGTGGCCACATGGTTGATGTGTTTGCTCCTCATGTCCAAGTCCTGGGTTTGATGCCTTGCATGGGTAAACTGTGTGAAGCCCATTCTTGGTGTCCCCAGTCTTGCAATATTGCTTAGAATTGCATAAACTTCATATTTGTATCATTTGTTTGATGACTATTATGTTTTTCTATAAAGATAGGTAAGACACTTGATTGTCTGAGAGTAATTGTGCACTGTGGATGGGGACGACTTCTAGGGTTGACATTTACTGGTTTGTAACGTGTCAGATCTACATGTCCTACGACCAACGCCTGGAAGCTTCATACCAAATATACATTGATATATATCAGCTTGTCGTTAGCCAATGAGAGACATGTACATACTGCTTGCTTGCTTCTGTAGGTGCCTACTGCATATTGTAGGTGTCTACTGTATATTAAGTCAACTATATCTACTGTACATAGGAAACAGGCCAGCTGTGTAGAAGTTGTAACTGAGGATTAAACCGTAATGGATTCACCAGTGTGGTTCCAGGGCTGGGGTCCGGGATGTGATTGTAACAGTGTATTTGGTTGTAAACTTGGTTGAACTAATTCCTGTTGCCGTTGAACGATTGTCACCAGCAGAGCCCGTCTGACAGGGGATTGTAAACATGTATTGTACATCTTCAAATGTTACAGTGTTACACATATATATGTCATTGCTTATAAATATATATATATGGCATAATTAAGGAAACAAGAATCAATGCTGAGCTGATGAAACCAGCTGGGAGGTTTCATGTGAACTACGTGTTTATATATCCCTGTACCCATGGGTGAAGCGAGTGTTTATCCCAGCCAGGCCTACTGCTTATGTGTATAACAATGTAGTATAATGTTCTACAATATGCTTCATCTGCTAGATAAATATCATGATAGCCTACATACTTTAATAACATAGCTTGCTTTGTCAGTCTCTGCTTCCTGATATCTCAGATAGGATTAATCTCTGTTGGATCATGACCTGATAATCATCTATACTGCTCAAAAGAAGTTAAAGAACACACGATTTTTCCATATTACTTTTGTTAATCTGTCAGGTCATGTCATGTAGGTTTAACTTCTATATAGGACAGAATTAAATTGTTTGATAGGCATTACTTTGAAGTTGATGGATGACATGATAGACACAATTTTATGGATAACAATTTTGACAACGGTATAAGGATCTATACCGAAACGTCGCTTTTCACAGTATTAAAGAAGTTGTTATCCATAAAAATTGTCTATCAGGACAGAATTGTTTGTTAGGGTGGACCATGACCAGATGATTGTGTGTCTTCTGTGTTTGTTTGTGAATTATCGTCTATGTCGGGGATATAGGATTGCTTGCTTACCTCACACACACGTAAGGGTATGGTCACAACAAAATAAAGATTTGTTTGTCAGACTTTAGGACCTGGCTAAAATGCGACAAAATTAGCTCCTGGTAAAAAATGGCTCCCTCCCAAGGTTCTGAGAGGGAAAGAAGCCTCCGAACTGCATGAAGCCTGGAGAGGAGATCATTGTACAAAAGTCTTGGCCAGTAAGTACAGTCCGTTTGACACCAAATGAGAACAATGAATTGCAAAATAACTCGAAATCCAGAAAAGTGTATGAAACATCAATACGGTACTTGACCATGAATACCCTGTACCCAACAAAATCTGAATTTTGTTTATTTTAAGACCCATGACGGATGAAGTTCTTTAAGAAACTATCATGTAATTTTGTATAGAAATGTGTACATGACACGTAGGGGGGACAAACCGTGGAAGGCACGTTGCAGTTATTTTGCAATTCATCGTTCTCATTTGGCGTCAAAATGGACTGTACCAGCATAATGTACATATATCTATGGGAGAAACAGTTGATGGATATTTCCAATCAGGAATTTGTCATAAACAAGAACATTGCGACCATTTGTCTTTGTACAACCAAACACTTGATAAACAGACAGATTAATTTGTTGTGGCCTGCATGGAGTCTTGAGGTCGTCTTCTGTAGGTAGTTTACTTTTACTGGCATGTGTTAGTGGTGTAATGAACACATCTCAACAAGCAATAAACACATAGAGTTATTTTTTCATCAGTGCACTTGCATGTTGTGGTGTGAAACGTGTGTCATGGTGAACCTACTGTCATAGTTGGCTAGTAAGTCCCATGTATGAATGTGTTCCATTGCAAGGTTCACAGTTGATTTTAAGTTCTATTTATTGCAGTGATTGACATGTTTATCAGTTGATTCCTTGATTCTTCTCTTTGATTGCCAGGACAATTTACCCATTTTACTTTAGCTTCTCTTTGTATGCAGACTATCTTCGAATATCGTGTCATACGGAATTCAGCTGTGTAGATGAATAGGCTGTCTATTGATAAACGTCACAGTTAGAATTACTATTTTATTAGTGTGTATGTTTCTGAATCAGGGTAATTGAAAATGTTTGGGACCAACAACTGCGACATATCCAGACATCTACGCTTGACATGTCATCAGATTGTGACAAGAGCCAGGTTAAGTGATCCAGACATTTGTACTGTATGGGTAACCAAGTCAGCAAGCCTGACCACCCGGTCCGAATATTAGTCGCCTGTTACGACAAGTATAGTTGCCTCTTCCAGCAAGCATGGGTTGCTGAAGACCTATTCTACCCCAGATCTTTATGGATTGTGTCTGGTTTGAGTGTGAATTGTGTGAGGCTTGTGGCACAAGCTACACAACGTACTGATACCTTGAAAGTGCCCCTATTGTACATGCCACCCCTCGTAACTATCACGGATCCGTTACAGGGCTCCCCCAGTGTAGTCATCTTCATTGTACTGTTATTCCGTCTTCGGCAGTTGCAACTTCAGGGAACCACTTGTGTTACCCAAATAATAACAGTAGCTGCGAAATGTTCACCTTTATTTGTTTAAGAAACTGTACATTGGTGAAAGGAGTAGTAAATGTGAACATGGTAATGTAGGTCTCATTTGATGAAACTTAGAACACAGTATTTCATGTATGAAGATATTTCACTCCTAGAGAGTATGACGACACGGTTGAACACAGTTCTATGCAGTGCAGACTTTGTGTGAGAAACTTTTAACTAGTGAAACAAATTAATGTATGTGTGAAGTGTGCACCAGATATGCAGTAATCGATGAGATTGGCTCCCTCTGCCTGTTCACTATCACCATTATTGATACATCTGATAAACTTGTGTATTAATAAGAATAATATCCTAATGAACGAGTGTATTAATAAGAATAATATCCTAATGAACGAGTGTATTAATAAGAATTATATCCTAATGTACTAGTGTATTAATATAAAAATTATATCGTTATGAACTAGTGTATTAATAAGAATAAGATCCCAATGATGAACTGGTGTATTATAAGACCAATGTCCCAATGATGAAGCGTGAAGAATATCCTAATGAGCACATTTCTGATTTTAGTTAGTATATCATTCGACATGTGACTTGGTTCAATCCAATTACCTAATGACTCGGATTACTGTGTTTTGTGTACTATATGAAATAGGTATGTAGATATGTATGCACGGTTGCTGCTTTTAAAAAATGCACAATGTACAGAGTATAAGAGAGGCATCGTTGGTATCAGTGTTGAACTAGACAGCGGTTTATACAATCATTCAAATCACTTACGCTGAATCATGTCTGTCACCTCTATTAAGCATTCCTCTATTCAATGTCTTAGGCTTTCATTTTTAAACATTAATTGTTGAATTTTCTGTATCTTTGTCACTGGCATTTTACTGCTTTGTTCATTGATTTTAAAGTTATTTTATTGCAACTTTGTGTTTTCAAATGATATAATATAAGTATTTATATCTATGTTAATTTTGTGTAATGATGCATTTGATACTATATTCCTGTTTCATACTTCTCATGCATTGCCTTGGCATAGTAAAATTTTGTTTTTTAATGAAACAAGACTCTGAGTTATTTATTGTAAAAGTACACACGAAGCATGACAACACGAAGCATGACAACACGAAGCATGACAACACTGGGCAAGAGTTCTGTTCCATCCTCAAACCAATGTCCCGAGGCTCAAACAGGCATACCAAGAAAGCTGCAGTCAAATGCTGCAGAACTCTTCTTTCTACATACTAACATACACACTTTTTACACATATTTCATCCAGAGAAGGGACATTTTTACATGTTTGATGAGCATGTCCGAAAACCTCTCCACATGTTGACATCTTTGATGGCCATTTAGGCTCTGAGCAGATCACAGAACTGTTCCACATCTTTGATGAAAATCTAGGCTCTGAGCAGATCACAGAACTGTTCTACATGTTTGATGGCAATCTAGGCTCTGAGCAAATCACAGAACTGTTCCACATCTTTGATGACAATCTAGGCTCTGAGCAGATCACAGAACTGTTCCACATGTTTGATGGCAATCTAGGCTCTGAGCAGATCACAGAACTGTTCCACATGTTTGATGACAATCTAGGCTCTGAGCAGATCACAGAACTGTTCCACATGTTTGACGGCAATCTAGGCTCTGAGCAGATCACAGAACTGTTCCACATCTTTGATGGCCATCTAGGCTCTGAACAGATCACAGAATGGTTCCACATCTTTGACGGCAATCTAGGCTCTGAGCAGATCACAGAACTGTTCCACATGTTTGATGGCCATCTAGGCTCTGAGGAGATCACAGAACTGTTCCACATCTTTGATGGCCATCTAGGCTCTGAGTAGATCACAGAACTGTTCCACATCTTTAATGGCAATCTAGACTCTGAGCAGATCACAGAACTTTTCCACATGTTCGATGGCAATCTAGGCTCTGAGTAGATCACAGAACTGTTCCACATCTTTGATGACAATCTAGGCTCTGAGCAGATCACAGAACTGTTCCACATCTTTGATGACCATCTAGGCTCTGAGCAGATCACAGAACTGTTCCACATCTTTAATGGCCATCTAGGCTCTGAGCAGATCACAGAATGGTTCCACATGTTTGATGGCAATCTAGGCTCTGAGCAGATCACAGAACTGTTCCACGTGTTTGATGGCCATCTAGGCTCTGAGGAGAGATCACAGAACTGTTCCACATCTTTGATGGCCATCTAGGCACTGAGTAGATCACAGAACTGTTCCACATGTTTGATGGCAATCTAGGCTCTGAGTAGATCACAGAACTGTTCTACATGTTTGATGGCAATCTAGACTCTGAGCAGATCACAGAACTGTTCTACATGTTTGATGGCAATCTAGGCTCTGAGTAGATCACAGAACTGTTCCACATGTTCGATGGCAATCTAAGCTCTGAGTAGATCACAGAACTGTTCCACATGCTTGATGGCCGTCTAGGGTCTGAGTAGATCACAGAACTGTTCCACATGTTCGATGGCAATCTAGGCTCTGAGTAAATCACAGAACTGTTCCACATGCTTGATGGCCGTCTAAGCTGTGAGTAGATCACAGAACTGTTCTACATGTTCGATGGCAATCTAGGCTCTGAGTAAATCACAGAACTGTTCCACATGCATGATGGCCGTCTAGGGTCTGAGTAGATCACAGAACTGTTCCACATATTTGATGGCAATGTAGGCTCTGAGTAGATCACAGAACCGTTCTACATGTTCGATGGCAATCTAGGCTCTGAGTAAATCACAGAACTGTTCCACATGCTTGATTGCCGTCTAGGCTCTGAGTAGATCACAGAACTGTTCCACATGCTTGATGGCCGTCTAGGCTCTGAGTAGATCACAGAACTGTTCTACATGTTCGATGGCAATCTAGGCTCTGAGTAAATCACAGAACTGTTCCACATGCTTGATGGCCGTCTAAGCTCTGAGTAGATCACAGAACTGTTCCACATGCTTGATGGCCGTCTAGGCTCTGAGTAGATCACAGAACTGTTCTACATGTTTGATGGCAATCTAGGCTCTGAGTAGATCACAGAACTGTTCCACATGCTTGATGGCAATCTAGGCTCTGAGTAGATCACAGAACTGTTCCACATGCTTGATGGCCGTCTAGGCTCTGAGTAGATCACAGAACTGTTCTACATGTTTGATGGCAATCCCAGGCTGGACAGGGTGTCTGTACGTACACAGCAGAACGCCGTGAGGAAGGTTGCTGATGATCAGGCCCTCTGTATTCCCCGGTGAGGTGGCATAGACACTGTTGCAGAAAGAGAGAAGATCTGGAAGCATTTGTCATTCATGCTTTTACCGCAGTTATTATTCAAAATACATTCCTTAAATGTTGAAATTACTGCCTTCAGTTTTCAAAAAAATGTTTTGGTATCCGTGTAACTTTTGAGGAAATTGCAACAGTAGACACTCCCCGACTAACAACATGTGGCTAAGTTACTCCCACCATACCTGCAACAGTCGACACCTGGCTACAGTACTCCCACCATACCTGCAATAGTTGACACCTGGCTACAGTACTCCCCCCATACCTAAAACAGTCGACACTTGGATACAGTACTCCCACCATACTTGCAACAGTCGACACCTGGCTACAGTACTCCCACCATACCTGCAACAGTCGACACTTGGCTACAGTACTCCCACCATACCTGCACCTGTCGACCCCTGGCTACAGTACTCCCACCATACCTGCAACAGTCGACACCTGGCTACAGTACTCCCACCATACCTGCAACAGTCGACACCTGGCTACAGTACTCCCACCATACCTAAAACAGTCGACACCTGGCTACAGTACTCCAACCACACCTGCACCAGTCGACCCCTGGCTACAGTACTCCAACCATACCTGCAACAGTCGACACCTGGCTACAGTACTCCAACCACACCTGCACCAGTCGACACCTGGCTACAGTACTCCAACCATACCTGCACCAGTCGACACCTGGCTACAGTACTCCAACCATACCTGCACCAGTCGACACCTGGCTACAGTACTCCCACCATACCTGCAACAGTCGACACCTGGCTACAGTACTCCAATCATACCTGCACCAGTCGACACCTGGCTACAGTACTCCCACCATACCTGCAACAGTCGACACCTGGCTACAGTACTCCAATCATACCTGCAACAGTCGACACCTGGCTACAGTACTCCAATCATACCTGCAACAGTCGACACCTGGCTACAGTACTCCCACCATACCTGCAACAGTCGACACCTGGCTACAGTACTCCAATCATACCTGCAACAGTCGACACCTGGCTACAGTACTCCAATCATACCTGCAACAGTCGACACCTGGCTACAGTACTCCCACCATACCTGCAACAGTCGACACCTGGCTACAGTACTCCAATCATACCTGCAACAGTCGACACCTGGCTACAGTACTCCCACCATACCTGCAACAGTTGACACCTGGCTACAGTACTCCCACCATACCTGCAACATTCGACACCTGGCTATGGTACTCCCACGATACCAACAATGTGTTCACCTGCAGTAAGTCTTCTGGTACACTTTAAACTCCATTGTCTTCCCACCCCTTGTTGAGATCGTGAACCCGGCCTCGAGGATGCCCTCTGTGTGCTGGCTAGATGGAGAGCGAAACACGGGCAGAAACTGCTGAAGATCGGCCTGCAAATGAAACACTATAGTAGCGGCGCCAACAAATTTTAATAAGTATGATCACTGTTAGATTAAAGAAAACAGTGTTATCACTATCCTCCGGCATGGGGCACATTAGAATATTGTTTGTTTATATAGTAGTGAATATTAACTATAAAAAAGTCATATAAAGCCTTAAAAAGAGATAGCCACTAAAGCTGCTTTATTTCATCAGAAATGAAGAAACACAAAAGGCCCCTTCTATGAACAAAATAACTCGGTCTTGAAAAGTATCTCTTAGATAAGCTAACTTCAGTTGTTTTTTGCCCCATTGCGCACACGATGCACCAAGTGAAATAATCAAGGGCCAGAACTCTGTAAACAAAAAATTTATAGGACCAATTTTCGAACTCTTGATAAGTATCTCTTTGATAAATATGCAAACTTTAATTTGAGTAACTTCAGCAGTTTCTCTGAAAACTTGTCCTTATTGCACGCAGTATGCTTTTAGTTGCAAAGCATGGAGCTAGGGCCATAACTCTCCAAAAAGTTAATGGGGGGACACATTTTCAAACTCGGTCTTGACAAGTATCTCTTAGATAAGCATGCAAACTTTCATTCATGCAACTTCGGTAGTTCCTGAGAAAACTTGTCCCAAATGCACCCACTATGCACTAAGCACAAAGCAAGGGCCATAACTCTGTAAAAAATGAATTTACGACACCAATGTTGGAACTCCTGTGAGGTCATGACCAGTAAAATCAGTGTGCAACATTTCATTTCTCTGACTTAAATAGCTTTTTTTTAGAAGTGGACGGACATACTCCATTCCTATATCCCCCTTCCCACTTCGAGGATGGGGGTAATCCCTCTCCCCACTTCGAGGATGGGGGTAATCCCTCTCCCCACTTCGAGGATGGGGGTAATAATGGCTGGTTCATTTGTTGTCTGCAATATTCTACCTGCATGTATATAACAGCCACCCCTACATATCCCAGTCATTCATACAATTTATAAAGAACAAAGTCTCTATAACATCCTCAGCCTGATACTGTACAAAGTTTCATGGAGAAGTACATCACAGAACTGAGGTAAAGTTGTTATTCTTGCTTCCATTCAGTTCTATCATATCATGAATTCACACATCTGTTATGAAATGTGAAACAATGACACAGTGTTGTCTGTCTTTCAGAGAAAAAAACCCAAGATCTACTGAAGGAACTGGAATGATTGTGTTCAATGCTACAGCAAGTGAATGAAATCAGAAAACGCACAAGTACCATAATTCTAATTGATAAGTGTATAACATTTTGCACCTTGTGGAGAAATTTATCCATTAGCATCGAAATAAATTATCAATATCCCACAAATCTGCAGCCATACAAAAAAAAACTGTTCGATGTCACTTGTCTTTGTAAAATTCTATAAGTAAAGACCAAATCAGCATTAATTTGGGGCTCTCAACCTGTGTTTGTTTCTCGACTGATCAAGTTAATTCAAATGCTTCACATAGGTGACAAGTCTGATTCAATTGGCCAACTATTATCCATGTTTGTTCAACATATCCATTGCATTATATAACAAAGAAAACACAATCCACAGAGTATCAGTTAAGAAGTGTGAGCCAGTCAGGAGATGAGTACAAGCCAGAGCCGAGTGCTTCTGTACAGGAGAAATGGTGGAGGGGTCCCGACCATCGTGGGGCTGAGACCGCTGTGTGGAACAGTCTCCACTCCTCATGTGGCATGCAACACACAGTGCGACTGGGGATCTATTTTGCCCACGGGCCTCCCTACCTCAGCAACAAGACATTGATAACAACACTAGAACACTCCTGATAGAAGCTACCTGTTCCAGAGCGTCCAGGTCCCCGTGCGTGTAGATGGGCACTCCATGTTGGGCTGAGAGACATACTCCACTCACTATGCCAGCACTCAGGAGGTTACCTGCAGCATGTGACATAGGCATCAATTATAGTCATTAGAAATATATACACACAAACTGGTAGCTGGAAATGTCTTGCTTAATTGCATTTTCACATCTTTCTTCATAGTTGAAAATGATTGTTTTCTTGCGATCATATATATATGATCGTATGGCTGTGAGTGTGACATATTGTCCTGTGGCAAAGAAAGGGTTAACAGGCAGGCACATTCAGACTGAAATTCTTGTATGTTGTGAAGGAAAATACAACGATGAGGACCTGTTGCCATGAAGACAAGACAACAGAGCATTTTATAACCCTTTCTCAACTATCCATTTGTTTAACGTTTTAATCATGTTTATTTGTACACATGGATCTAAGTATTCAGCCTAGAATTATCCAGGGTTAACTTCCTGATTGTTGAAAATACATACTCTTGACGAAGGCGTCCCAAGTTGGCACGGGGCTCGTCTCAGATGCCATGGCGTCACTAGATTCAGGACTTCACCTGGTTGACTCCGCCATGACCATATATGAAGACTGAAAGTGACAGAGAATTTGATAATATAACCAACATTGTGTTGTGTCTGGAGTCGTTCCAAGTTATTAAAACGTTATTTAAATTCTAACAAATGTTATATTTGGGATGACACTTTCTGAGTAAAGTACAGATTCTCGTACGAGTATATCGTCGTATATCCCAAATATAACATTTGTTACATTTGACCACTTTCTAAATGGCATTGTGTGTTCATTTAAAGTCTATGTTGGACAGAACTCCACTGATGAATTGACAACCCTGACAATTAATTCAAATTTCTGGAATAAACGCACTTATTACTTCTCTGCAACCTTTAAACACAGTTCACTTACAACGATGTGAGAGTGTTGATTCAGAAGTTAGCTCAAGCTCCTCACAGCGATAGCCCGTTTGCGGAGCTCTCTATACCATACCGGGGTGTAACGAAAGTGTCACGCGCTGGGAAGGAGCTTGTTACCTGAATAATGGGACGCAACTCTTAATAAACATATTTGTCGTTATCGCAGTAATGGTACCGGTATAATTTTTTATTGTTTGTTCGAAACCCTCAGTCGTCAAGCGATCAGATAGTTGTATTTATTTTGAGAGTTTTATTAGTTTTAGATTTTTACTGAATTAAATATTCAGTTAAGTATTTTATAAACATTATATACTTCACACTTCAGCTCTCCTAATTCTCTGTTTCAGCTTACTGCATGAGTACTTTGCCACAGCCAAATTATCAACAGCATAAACACAATATACCTACAAATCCTAGGAATACGTACAAACAATAAAATATCATCAAAAGACCAACCTTTAGAAATGAATCCCAAAGTCCATAAATCAAACACAACAATTAGTCCAAATTGTGAATACCACAAATGTGACCTATAAACTGTAGTAAAAATCTAAACTAATAAAACTCGGTTCCCGGCATTGGAACCATGGCAAAGTACTCATGCAGTAAGCTGAAACAGAGAATTAGGAGAGCTGAAGTGTGAAGTATATAATGTTTAAAAAATACTTGACTGAATATTTAATTCAGTAAAAAATTAAACTAATAAAACTCTCAAAACTTATACAACTATCTGATCCTGTCACATATTATGCCAAAATAACCTTACAAAGCAGAATTAAATAATGAAAATAAAAAATTGATAAGGATGTTCGATTTTTCGTTACCTTTAATGAATGTTGTTTACGCTGCAGTCAGAATTATCTGCCTGCAAATAATCGGGTCTGGACCAGAATAGCTTTAGTTGTCAACATGAGCAATAATCACACCGCCGGGGTGCCATAGCACACATCACCCCTGTCACACATTGTATCCCTCCGTTCCCACGAGTGTGGGGATTCTTATCGTTTAAAAATCGGAATATATTTATATTGTTTTCTGTTAGCAGTGTTAATTTCATGTATAAAGCTGTGTTACCTGTATGTCTGACCGCGTAAAATTGTTGGAAGCGAACGCGTAAATCTGTTGAGGAATATCGATCCACGGTAATGTAAACTGAAATCTTAAATTTACCGATTCCGTAGTCATGATAATATACCTCCTAGTTAATGTATAGCATGATTTATTTAAGACGTCGGGCCTTCTGTCTGCGGAGTCTCGGGACGAAGCTGGAGGCACGAGTGGCCATGTCGTCCATGGCGCCGCCCCTCCCTGTACAGACAGGCGCGCCCTGATTGTATTTCTGGGTTTGTCAGCACCAACCCCGTGGTTGCTGGTTCCATCTGAGTAGTAAGCCTCGAGTACCGGCATCATTGCGGGGCGTCCTTGGCTGACACGCTGTGATATAACGGAACGGTGTTAAACTCATTCTTCTACCAGTGTTTCTCTATCTCATCATGTTGTATAACATGGTCTGGCGATCTATTGTGTGTGAGATGTGTTTGTTATCAGGAGAAGTCATCCTACACGCTGCCACGTGTCCTTTCTAATCCTAATCTGGAATCCGGAGTGTGAGGGGAACAGCTCGACAACAGCTGTGAAAGTAGGATGTGTCCGGTTAACAGGGGAATGCGGATGAGGCAAGTCTTGTGAGGACACATTCCACTTCAGAACTAAAGCTGGCACTTCTGTTAGCTGTCGACATTTCATGCTTATCGTCTCCAGGGCAGGATAGGGTCACATGCTGGACATGATGACGTCGCGATCAAGATTACAGCACTTATATAGCGGCGTGCATTCAAATGTGCGTACGTGCGTGCGTGTGTGTGTGTGTGTGTGTGTGTGTGTGTGTGTGTGTGTGTGTGTGCTTGTACTAGTACTGACTACTGTCGGATGTATGATCTAGCCCAATGAGATACCCCACTGTATACAGTATATTGACTCTGAGCCGATTTGTAGTATGCCGTCTCTTCATAAGATGTGGCCAAGGGATGAAATCAACCCTCCGCGCTGTCCACTTGAGCACGGAGGCGATGCTCGACACAGGAGGCTTCTAACATCGGAGTCACGTGGGCAGACTCCGGTATTCGTAGGATTGCGCGTTATCGTACGAGGACGACGTTGGAGTTGCTCATAATATTATTCACTGGTTTGCCTGACCCAGACCCGGTTATTCCCTCCCTCACTCGCTTACTCATTCATTCGCTCACTCCTTCCCTCCCTCACTAGCTCTTTCCCTCCCCCACTCACTCGTTCCTTCCCTCCATCCCTCAATCCCATCCACCCCCACCCCCACACACACTCACTCACTCCCACTCACTCGCTCCATCCTTCCCTCACTCACTCACTCGGTCTCGCTCACTGTCAAGCTCATTAGTAATATCATAATACCTCCGGAGAAGGTAAAACAGTTTTGGAAGTGGGAACGGCATATCTTTCGTATGTCATCGATGATTAAATATTACCGGTTCCTATGTGCGTGGGAGAGGCTGATATAGACGAGTTACAGCGCACCATGCATCTGTGAGCAGAAGAAGTGTCCGCCATTATAAAAGCCAGTGTTAGAATACCAACAACTCCAAACACGCGTCCTTGTCAGATCCACAAGAACATTTGGTCCACTTTCTTTTCATAACACACTCACCCATGACAAATATTATGGATACATTACGTTGTGTAAATAGCTTCACTCTTATAAATATGTTAGGTGTATTTAACACACGGCGTCGACCTTCCCCAACAAGACGAGCACTTCCATAACATCAAGGGCGACAACTCTTCCAGGACTGGTGCTGACACCACCAGCACCAATTCGCCTGACGCACTTGACGTGGTTTACATTGACAAATTCACTGATCAATAGTTCCACTTTACTTTTATGATGATGTAGGATATTATGAATGTCTACTGTGTCTCCCTAGACATCGTTATTGCTTTGACATTTAAATCCTTGTTTCATGTCTGCGTACCTTCAAGCTAACGCCGATTTCTTTTTCACTAATTACTGCTATATGAACCGTGTTTGTCTTCCATCTCTAACGTTTAAAATTAAAAACGGAAAGAGCAAGTTCACTTTTTGTTGTATAACAAAGCATGTGTATCCTTCACAACGGAGCCGCCAACCAGCCAGACATCCTCGATTATCCAGAGTATTCTATCTCTGTCTATTCTGATAATACCCTAGACCCATTCCCAACACAAATTTCGTTTCGGAAGTTTCTCGAGCACACTTTTTAACAGTGAAGAGGGCGGTATGACTTAACTGAATCAATGTGATTGACGAAAAAGGTATGAGGGTGAATACTTAACGTTTTCCCAACAAGAATACCAACAAACACAACTTCCTTTGTGAAGAATTCGCAGCGGTGTCTGCTTCGGTTGAAGTAGGAAACGTAAAAAAATATTTTTTATTGGCAATAAAATGACTGAAAGGCAGGATTTAGAGTGATGCGTCGATGCCCGAGAAACAGTTTCGTTTTTAGCTTTAACACTGACGCAGCACAGGATTTCTCTCGCGCATGCGTGTACTCTGATTGGACTAATTCTTGTGGCGTGACTTCCGAATACCGCTAAAAACAAAGCAATAGCAGCGACTGGGTCCTGATTGTTTATCAATATAGAATGGAGATATGATACACCTGGTAGTCAAAGAGGTCTTCTGGTATACGTCTCAGCCTTTTCCTTTACCAATAAATGAAGTTGTTCTCACATGTCTCACTATTTTGAAACACACAACCGTTATTGTAAGACCAAATGCAAAATTCCTACGAGTAGCAATGTTTGGCAATACTCAACACGGAGATGTGGCCACGACGTTTAACGCTTCAGGTACATCGATGATCTGATATCGTTCAATAACAGTCAAATAGGCAGCTACCTTTCACTGATTTACCCACCTGAACTAGAAATAAAATGATGCCTATGAAACAGTCTCATCTGTTCCGTATTTTGATGCATAAACGATTCAGAGTGACAAAAAATAACAGCAAAATTGCAAGGCAAGAGAGATGACTTCAACTTTCCAATAGTCCCTTTTCCCTTATGTCGGGCAATAGTCCAGCATCTTCAGCCTTTGGCGTCTACATTTCACAGCGTTCGAGGTACACAAGCAGTATCTTATACACATTCTTATAGTATATAACCGGAATCGACCAATGAACTGTGATTTTAGTTTGAGTTTGGTTGCTACAAATAGGGACTACTTTCTCCCTGTCGTTTTTAGTCAAGACATGTAAATGATGTTTTCTTGAGTCAGGCAACAAAGTGGGGTACCGGGGACCTATTCTGCCCGTGACTCCCTACGTGGAGACAAACATTGGGTACCGGGGACCTATTCTGCCCGTGACTCCCTACGTGGAGTCAAACATGGGGTACCGGGGACCTATTCTGCCCGTGACTCCCTACGTGGAGTCAAACATGGGGTACCGGGGACCTATTCTGCCCGTGACTCCCTACGTGGAGTCAAACATGGGGTACCGGGGACCTATTCTGCCCGTGACTCCCTACGTGGAGACAAACATGGGGTACCGGGGACCTATTCTGCCCGTGACTCCCTACGTGGAGTCAAACATGGGGTACCGGGGACCTATTCTGCCCGTGACTCCCTACGTGGAGTCAAACATGGGGTACCGGGGACCTATTCTGCCCGTGACTCCCTACGTGGAGACAAACATGGGGTACCGGGGACCTATTCTGCCCGTGACTCCCTACGTGGAGTCAAACATGGGGTACCGGGGACCTATTCTGCCCGTGACTCCCTACGTGGAGTCAAACATGGGGTACCGGGGACCTATTCTGCCCGTGACTCCCTACGTGGAGTCAAACATGGGGTACCGGGGACCTATTCTGCCCGTGACTCCCTACGTGGAGACAAGCATGGGGTACCGAGGACCTATTCTGGCCGTGAATCCCCAAGGGAGACAAGCATGGGGTACCGAGGACCTATTCTGCCCGTGACTCCCCACGGTGTGAATGGGATCAGTGTAACATAAGGAGTAAGACGTCAAAACAAATGAACGGAAAGTGTCTTATTTGAGTGTGTTTTATTGTCTGTATAAAATAGTTGATTATGACAACGACGTGATACAGTAGATGTATGTTCACAGATCAACATGTCGGAGAGAGAACGATCTAAGCAGGTGTACGTGAGCGTGTCTTCAGCCGTTACATTATCAATGTCCTTCTGAAGGATAAGAAGCACGTAACAGAAACACGAATCACCGGCCATGATAATGTGCCCCCAGACATCTGCTCCCTGTACTGTTGCTGGGTGGATGTGCTGACATGCTGGCGTCCCCCACACCACCTGCAGCGTCACGTCTGGTGACGTCATATACCTGAATACCTGGAGTATTCATGGTGCTGCAAGTACGAACTAGTATTCACTATGAAAAACAAATACTCATTGCAATCGAGATGATGTTTGGGGCACCGGGTAATATACAATTAGTACATCAACGTTTCTGGGGGATTGATCTAAATACTAACTTATTGCTTCAAATATCACCTTGGGTATAACGCTAAAATAAAACTACAGAAAAATCGGCTTTGAGTTCTTCATAAAGCGTATCGATGTTTGGAATATATCATCAATCGTTTTGGGACAGTTGGTAACTTCTGTTTGACAGTATTTCTTCTAAAGAAGTTTCCGTATGTTGCACGGATTTCGACAGAGACAATCGAAGTGTGAGAAAATCATCAGAATATTATCCGTACACTGCATGACCGGCAGCATGGCGCGAGCCCCGGGTACTTGAGTACTGATCTGGAGTACCACAGCGTTTAGATCTAACCTAGACTTGCACAAGTCCCTAAGGCAATAATTATCAGTTTAAATCATAATTTCTTAACAGTAAATAATAAGAACAAGTTGTCCCTATAAGAGACTAGAGTCCTGTACTGTCCAAAAATCTAGACTTGCCTATTAGGTGGATAGAATTACTACACATCCATGGACCCTTCTTTCAGTACAGCCTTGGAGCAAGGCTAGATCTCACCCTGCACCCGTGGGAACGTACAACCACCTACACAGGATCACAATGTACTATACTAGCGGAAAGAAGTAACTGCATGTGTCCATATTCACCAAAACGCGGTATTTATTATAAAACCACGCAACTTTCAAACACATGCACTGGTGTTAAATTGGGTTTCGAGAATTTCTTGTTTCTTATTCTAAACCCTAAACAGGTTTCTTGTGTTGTTAGTAAGCGGATTGACAAATCGAAATAAATGAAATCATAACTATTAGTTATCTTCAGTTATTATGAACTATATAACTATCAGTTACTTTTGCCCGCTGAAGAAAAATATATTCACTAACATCGCCAGTACTCCCATGGGCCCTCTATAGCGCCCTCTATGGGACTCAAAACATCACCTCGATATAGGAGGATTGGGCTATATGAATAACAACGCGAATAGCCACGACTCGGAGATAAAAACGATGCCCGTATTACGATAGAGGCGACATTTCCGGTGATGACTCTTCTGTACCATTGTACAGCGCAACTGCTGGCGACGTTTTCCGCCATGTCGCTTATAGGCAGATGGCAGTGGGCGAGTGCACTCTATACAATGTATTCACGAGGCCAGACTAGAACATATACACAATGAAAGACAACAGCGACATCTACAACTGTAACAGACACAGACTTGTATAATGTATTGCCAAGCGACATTTTCTAACAAAATGAACATCCATTAAGTTGATTAATATGATCTGAAATATCACAGAGACAATGGCATTATAACAATAGAATGGACAGAAGATTGTTTCTCTAGTTAAACATCTTGCGTAGTCTGAGCATAATGTACACTATATACATACTGGATCTATTAAGTCACTTGTACATATTAGTACAATAAACTTTTCGAAAAGTGATGTGTTGAGTGAGTGAGTGTGAGTGAGTTGGGTTTAACGCCGCTTTTAACAGTATTCCAGTTATATCACGGCGTGTCAGCTTAATGTGGGAGGAAAGCCCGAAGTGATGCAGGTCTCGGACGTTTACCACTTCGGTGAAACCAACGAGCACGGGTATGGTGCTGACAAATCTAGAAACATAATCGGGGCGAACCAGGATTCGAACCCACAATCATAGGTTTCTGGCGTGCCCAAGGGACGCAACTCTGCACAGCGAATCGCGGCGCCTTAGACGACTGGGCCACCCGTGCCCCCCTGATGTGTTGAGAAACAAGGCAGCACACGTGCATCTGGGATAAGGTTGGACCTCGAAATGTTTCCTCCTAAATCCCCATGTAGATCGCTATCATTATCTCGCAGACGCAACCATCTCGGGCACACTGACGTTTCAGTTTCATGCCTCAGCTTAAACGTCCCAGTGTACAGGAAACAAACTAATTTCTTGAGAAACACAAATCCCGCAAAGAAAAATGCCTTCGGTTTCATAGCACGAGTTGATAGTCTCATAGCACCATAAGCCTAGCGGGAATTATCTCCACACGGTCACGTTGCTCTAAGTACTGAGCATTGTCCTCGACTTTTAATGTACCACTTTGGTGACACGGATATGGTGCCAATAAACCCAGAATCATTTTCAAGGTGAACATGGGAGTTCGAACCTACGATCGTGTAATTACCGTCAACACCGCCCTCGGAAAACCTGGGTAACACTGATCTGATAAACCGGTTTGGCTTATACAAGGCCAAAGTGACAGCGGATGGTTTGCGGATCTCAATCAATGGAAATTGTAAATATTTTGCCATCGTTTTATAAATAAGCACGGTGTTCTAGTAGTGCAAAGGTTGTCTCATGCATACTGCTCAAAAGAAGTAAAGGGCCACCCGATTCTTTCATGTTATAGTTAATCTGTCACGGTATGGTAATATGAAAGAATCGGGTGACCCTTTACTTCTTTTGAGTATTAAAGAAGTTGCATGCCTTCAAAACGTTTAAGGTAGAATAAGATCTGATCAAAATTTTCGAGAGTTCTGCTTTTACCATATTGTCGCTGTGTATTAATCTTTGGCACTGTCAAGGATGTGGTCCATAAATAATTCTGTCAGCAGAGTGCCAGGCTCCACGCCATTGATAACCCATATTTCTAATGTCAAAACATTAAAACACAAAGTATATCGTTCAGCAGTTGCCTGCAAACGAGTGAGTGAGTTGGGTTTAACGCCGTTTTGAACAGTATTCCAGTTATATCACGGCGTGTCAGCTTAATGTGGGAGGAAAGTTCGAAGTTTGGTGCCGACAAACCTAGAAACAATCGATTCGAATCCACAAGGGACGCAACTCTACAAACATGAACGAGTCCATTATAATGTTATAGGTAACACAGGTATATTCTCTCCAACAGGAATATAGGCAAAAATGTGTTTCCAAGGAAGAAATGCTATCATACACAATATCATATACATTATCGATTACATAAAATTCATTGGAGTAAGAAATTTTAAAAAAAGGTAGAAAACATGCAAAACAATACTTAGGCATCAGCTCTCAGTGGAGGGGTGGTAATACATGGTGAAGAAAAACATCAACAATGCAAGTTAGGCGTAAGACACTTGTTTGCGTACTCATATGCGTATGTCCGTGTGCGTTCTGCGTGTGCGTATTGCGTATACGTTGTTTCAAAACATATTACATACGAGCTATGCCTATGCTTAGGTAACGAATACGTCACATTCACGTGCACAGCTGACTCCTCCTAAGGATTTCCGATCGCGTGTACGTACGCGTATGCGTCAAAATTGGCTCCAGGGGCGAATTCAATCGTGTACGCAGTCGTAGACACGCACACACACCAGCGAACGGGATAAACCTGTTTTGCCCTGCATTATTTATACCAAATCGTTTTTTTCGGATACGGATAACGTACACGCAAATACGCAAACGCAAACGCAAACGCAAACGCAAACTCGGGTGTTTCACGCTTTAAAAGTTGGTAGCAAGTTACATTAAAAATCAAACTTTGATCTAATGACATTAAACCCACACTGAATCACATTGAAAACGCATATTCGATTTTTTTTAATATTTCACAAAATGACCACAAAAGTCAAATGAAGTTGTTCTGTGTATTTAGGCGTGAGATAATCAAACAAAGCGGGGTCATTTTGTCACAGTCATCATTCTCTGTCATGCGAGTAAATATTTACTGCAAAAATCGGTTCTTGTCGGGGTTAAAAGTGGATTATGCGTTTTCAATGTGTGCCAATATGTACATAAAACCAACCATCCGGGTACTTTCCACAGAGCGATAGAGTACGTCCATGACGTTGGTACTCCAACGTTACGATGTCGGAAGTTACGATCGCTTCATGGAAGCGAGCCCGTCTCTGACACGGGTGAAGAATACTGATGAGCGTTGATGGCAACTTTATTATAATAACTTTGTAATATGTCCGTTCCACGCTGTAATATTTGGGTCCGATAACCTGGCTGGGCGATTCCGCGGTCACCACTGGTAGTAGAGATTTGACATTTTGAAGAGACTGTTGATTATTTACATTCTCGTTCATCAGTTCATTACACTGTTGCCAAGCAACGGGAAAAGCTTTCATATCTGTTGTCCCATCAGTTTGTGTTTGTGAAACGATGTTATGAAGCTCTTTTTCTTAATTCTGACGTAATATTATTCCATTATTTTACAACAATATTATTCCATAATCACCCAGTTCTTGACATGACTCGTCGTATGAATCAGTATGACACGTTGTATGAATCCGTATGACACGTCGTATGAATCAGTATGACACGTCGTATGAATCAGTATGACACGTCGTATGAATCAGTATGACCACACGTATGTGAGGTACTCCGCTAGACTTCACACTCGCCGTGTAGCTGTCTTTGATATTTCCGAATATCTTTCTGTTCACATTTGATACTCCATTTCCTGTTGTCCTCGTGATGCCCTTTTTCCATTCAGAAACAACCAGGTCCAATGGCCCTGCACTCAACTACCCTGCTGCCTCCATTGTGCCAGGCGTCATGGTTTAACCTGGTGGCACTGCTTCCATCAACAGGCTCCCTTCCTCAACACAGACAACCCGCGCACCTGCACGCACCTGCGAGCACACACAGCCTCGGGTATATCCCCAACATGAACTGATCTCTCTACTATCACAGGGTTACTGGCATATATCCTCACTCTATGGACTGGTTCTGATCAGCCGTCCGCCTCCGCAACAATTCAGTCATCGACTGTAAGGCAAGGACGGGGTTCCTTCTATAGTTTTATCAAATATATATTTTGCACTGAGATGGTCCCAAACCTGGCCTAGTGTCACGTGATCACAATATGATGCACTTCCGTTTCACGAGTCTCTTGGGTTGCACTTTAGGTTCAAGGACGGCAATGATAGCTTCATCAAACACGTCCTTCAAACCTTTCTTAGTCAGAGCTGAGCATTCCACATAGGAGTTGCCCCCGAGTTTGTCACACACTCTCTCCGCCTCCTCAACTGTCACCGGCTTCTGTTTCCTCTTCTGGAGCTTCTGCCTCGTGGGTTCATCCTCCCTCAAGTCTACCTGGGTTCCCACGAGTAGAAATGGCGTCTTGGGGCTGTTATGGCGGATCTCGGGAATCCATTTGTATTCCAAGTTCTTCAGGGAATCGGGCTTGACGACCGAGAAGGCAACCAGAAAGACACTGGTTTCTGTGTAGGACAACATCCTGAGGCTTGTGTACTCCTCCTGCAACACAGACAAAACACATGTCAGACCATCTTACAACACAACACAGACAAAACACATGTTTGACCATCCTACAACACAACATAGACAAAACATATATCAGACATTCCTACAATACAACATAGACAAAACACGTCTTACCATCCTACAACACAGGCAAAACATATATCAGACCATCCTACAACACAACACGGACAAAACACATGTCACACCATCCTACAACATGTGACCAACGTGTCAGTTGTTTTTTTCTCAACCAGTGAGTGAGTGAATATTGTTTTACGCCGCTTTAAGCAATATTCCGACGAGGGACACAAGTAATGGGTTTCACACGTTGTACCCATGTCGGGAATCGGGCCCGGGCCTTCGGAATGACGAGCGAACACCTTAACCACTAGGCTACCCCATCGCCTCTTTTTTCAACCAATCTCTGATCGGAATATGGTTAGGACACCATGCGAACTGGTTGATATTTTATACTTGAAACACATGCATATCCATATTAAACCATACTTAATCGGTTTTGTATGGCATGGGTTAATAAGAACAGCGCTATCAACGATTCAGTAGAGGTTCCCCGACAACCACTCCATGAAAACTAAACTTGCTTGGGTTTTGTGCATAGCCATCAAGTGTCAAGCAGAACAGACACATGATAGACAGCCTCTGCAACTGATTTCCAATTGCGTTGATCGACGCTCATGATGTCAATAACTGGGTTGTCTGGTCCAGACTCGATTATTTACAGACCGTCGTCATATAGCTGGAGTTCGGCGTTAAACAACAAACAGACACAATTTCCAAACAGGAGCTTGTCTGCCTATTGAAATAACCCAGCGTTACGAGTAACGACAGCCTAACTGCGGTACTTATGGCTAAGATGTAATAGAAGTGGCAAACCGAAACGGTACACCAAAATAAACACGATTGTCGGAGTTTTAATATTCTCATGCATTTAACAGTATTGCAGAATGACATAGTAAACAGTGAGTGAGTATAGTCTTGCGACGCCCTTAAGTAATATTCAAGCAATTTCACGGCTTCACACATTGTACCCATGTGGGGAAACGAACTCGGGTCTTCAGCGTGACGAGCGAACGCTTTAACCACTCGACTACCCCGCCCGTTTTAAGACAAATGCATGACGTATAATCTGTATAGTATAATATGTCCAGCTGTCCCCTGGGGATTGGTATGAAAGGTATATCTCTAACGCAATAATTATTCGTTTAAATCATAATTTCTAGATTACATAAATAATCAATATATTATCATTCAGTACAGCCTTGGAGCAAGGCTAAGTATATCCTTATACACTGATATCTAGGTTAACACAGACAGCATAGCGTTTTCTTCCTTGTTTAAGGCGCGGTGAGTGAGTTTATTCTTATGCTTTACGTCACATCGGGAGTATTTCCGCCATATCGTGACGATCAGGTGCGGTGAGAAACTGTGTTATTCCTATACACTTTTCCAGTCTGCAGTTGCCCGAGTATGGTGTTGCATCGGGAATCGGACAGTGAGGTTACGTGACCTGACATGCTTGGTTTGTCTGTATTGTCCAGAGTTGGTATTTTACAGTCAGAAGAGTAACGCAAGCTTGAATTTGGGACACCACCAGGGGATCTTGGTACTGGCAAGGGACACAACTCTGCCTTGTGACTCACAGCGAATCAGATCACTTGGCCGCCCATACTCCCAGAACTGACGCAGGGACAAGCATATAATTATGTCACTCATAGTACATGTTTTGTTTTTCTCGAAAATACCCCAATCTGTGATCATTATACATCATATTTACAATTTGACCAAGGGTACAAGTATTAACCATTAACCATTATTAATCCGGTAAACAAACAGATTCAGACATCAAACACTGTAAAGTAATCGCTCCTCCAATGAGTGAGTGAGTATGGCTTTACGCCGCTTTTAGCAATATTCCAGCAATACCACGGCGGGGGACACCAGAAATGGGCTTCACACATTGTAGCCATGTCGGGAATCGAACCCTGGTCTCCGGCATGACGAGCGAACGCTTTCACCACTAGGCCACCCGACCGCCCCATCGTTCTTCCAAACCAACCCCAGATGTTAACGTTAGAGTAAATATAAAACATCAACGCCAGAGATTTACCAGTCTCGATTATCTGCCGAGACAGATACCACTGGTCGTAAAAGGCAAACTAGTGGTGAATCACGGTCATGATAACTCCCCCACCCCCTCCCCTCTTTATTACACAACACTGGCCTATATTAATCCTGATTATGTCAAGGAAATATTTAGGGCTACATGACCAATTATCCTGTTAAGTCAACAGCGGAAACAAAACCAAAACTGACAGTATTGGTAATGAGTCCGGTGTTTCATCGCTACTTAGCTATTGTTATAATTACGAATCAAATACACTACGTCCTCTAATGACACATACCGTCAAACTGTGTGGAGGCCAGACAGACAGACACACAGACACACAGACACACCTTGTATTTGTAGAAACTCCATGAGATCGACCGTATAATTCATAATGCATCTATACACATTGTTGGGGTAAATAGATGTACAATTTAACACACAGGGATAATGAAAGTAATATTTTGGGATGTACAAATAACAATTTTTAACATATCTGATGGGACCGCCTCCGTGGTCGGTGGTTCGGAAGGTCGGTGGTTCGATCCCCGGCGCCGTCATACCAAATAGATGTTAAGAGATGGCGCGTGTTACCCTGCCTGGACGGGTCGGCTGAATCAGTATACACTGTGACTGAGTGGGGTATCCATGTAAAACTACGGCATGGTATCTCAGCTAACTAACACTATAATACCGAAAACACACACACACACACACACACACACACACACACGCACGCACGCACGCACGCACGCACGCACGCGCACAGAAACACACACACACACACACAGAGTATACATATACGTACATATATGCATGAACTCTGAACTTTATTTGAATTCGGAAGCTTTATAAAGCTTGTCAGAATATAAGAGCAAAATATCTGATTTATTTTAAACAGTAATAAATGATATGAACTTGATTGTATTATTTGAAGTTAAGGTACAAAGTTGACCAAAGACTCGACAATATGTTGGGATTAATTCCATTTCCTTGTTGACGAAAACACGCATCCTGGATGACGCCAGATAGACGTAAAGCCCACCCTGACCCTTGACCCAGGAAGTTGACGATAACTTCCGGGTAACAAGCTCACATCATGCGCATGTGATTGTCTGTAGCCAAGAAGATCTATAATTGTTAAATGATCTGTTTCCTGCATGGTAAGCCTTTAGTTAGCGCTGGGTCTTTCCGCGCAGTATTGTGTACCGTGAATCGTTTGTGAGAGTGAGTTTAACGTCGTTTTGAACAGTATTCCAGTAAATATGAGCCGGCAACTACTGAATGAACATGGGCATGGTCAAACCAGATCATAATTTTGGTGAATCTGGCATTCGAACCAAAAGCTTGTAGAGCCTCGCCGCCAAGGGACACAACTCTGTAGCGAGGACGTGTCTGTGGATGCACCTGGACAACCCAGCGAGCATCGTGTGTGCCACATCAGAAGCATGTCAATATGTATGAACAAGCACAAAATACTCTTATACCCACCAATATGACATGTCTGGTTGTGTGCACGGCAAGAAATATTGTACGGTTTACAAGATCTGCTTCGGGAACGAGCACTACAGTCAAAGTTGTTGCAATGGAAACTCGAAAAACATTTTTTTTCGAAAATCAATAATAAACTATCAAAAGGCACCAGTTCACCACTAGACCTATCTATGTGCCAAGTTTGGTTGTTTAGTTCTGCTCAGGAAACGAAACGTTACGGAAGACAGCACCCGTTCTTATATCTTCCTTCCACTTCGTGGCGGGGGATAACCCACACAGACACAGGCATGGAACACGGAATGAAAGCTCTAATGAATAGCGCCATGCTGGAGAAGTATTTCAACCAGTCTACAAAACCAAACATTTCCAAAAACTTGAACGACCCCTGAGTTTTTTGCTGTGTGATGTTTGTGAGTGACTGCTTCAGGTCCCCCAGATGTCCGCGTGATGCGGAGTCTGGTATCCATCACTCCCTCACATACATCCTCCCTCTGACATGGCGGACTAATCAGAATATATACCATTAACCGCGTACATAAATACAAAAACCTGAATCGCCTTGAGGCTTGACGTGAGGCCTGCGTCCTCAACTCGGCGTTTGTTAGATTTAAACTGTGACGTAATTGTGTACATAGCTAAATGAATCATCTACGTACGTCTTTGAGATGTATAACAACATACAGTGTTATAGACACATATAGATGTACACAGTGTTAATAGATGTGAGTAGATATCTGCTGACATGTATGACACTGTCAATGGAAAAATGGACAAGAATAACAGTTTCAAGGGAAATAAAGATCTGTTTAACAATGTTCGGAGCCATAGACGCGTATGAAAGTGTATTGTTTATAGACACGTAATACAACGTCCAGGGAATATAGACATAGGATACTGTCTAGGGAAATACAGATTGGTATGACAATGTTCGCAGTTATAGACGTGTATAAAAGTGTAGTGTCATACAGTTACTGAATACCGTACACGCGTCCGGGGAAATAGTCAAAGTCAAAGATGTTTATTGTATCAAAGGCCATCGGCCCATATACAAGTTCAGATAAATACAGTGGGTGAGAATTTACAGATTGGGAGATACAACAAAAATTATATAAATATAACATTCATTTAACAATCGGTGATAATCATGAGGACTTTCTAGGGTGAGGTAATTAAAATTATGAATTTCCACTCAACATGTTATTTCGTAGTTCCATCCCATGTTTTACAAATAAAGACAGTTTAAACATTACATCGGCATCATTCGATGACAAAATAGAAACAAAAGCTATTCTACTTGTCTTAGATAAGAAACATTCTGGTATATATTTAGTACGTAATTCTGCATAATAAGGACATTCAAAGGTAAAATGTATTT